CTTCGGTAAAGTTCTGAGATCTGTTTGAGCCTTGGATGCACAGATACCTTCTAGCCAATAGAAGCCACATGCTTCTAAGCCACTGAATGGCTAGAAATTCGTATGCTTTGTTTTATAGTGAGCTCTCTGTTTTGTAGATAGCTCAGGTTCATCGTGCAACTCTAGCTAACGGCCAGGATGTGGTTGTTAAAGTTCAGCATGATGGCATTAGAGCGATTATTTTGGAGGTCTGGTCTTAGTTTCGTTTTGAAGCCTTTGATATGAACAGTAAGAGCTATTAGCTATTATATGACTGTTGAAACCTCTTTCAACTTGTCTTCTCTTTTCATTTCTTAACAGGACTTAAAGAATGCAAAGTCCATTGTTGACTGGATTGCGTGGGCAGAGCCACAGTACAATTTTAACCCCATGATAGATGAATGGTGCAAGGAAGCTCCAAGAGAACTAGATTTCAATATTGAAGCTGGTATGCTTCACTTGCATTCATAATGAATAGTTATAAATTTCATTCTATGATAAAAAATAATTCCACCAAAGCATGTGAGTGATTTCCATGATCAAGTTCGTGGGATGAGCTAATGGTCTTGGAATTTCACTAGCTCATTTTAATCACATGTTCATTTTAATTCTCAAACATGGCTATGATCGAGATAACACGGTAAAAATAAGCAGAATTCTGTGTCTTTGAATTCCTTCCCTAGACTGAGCATTTTTCAGGTTCATGCTTACACGTCACTGAGAAATGTATTTCCTGAGTTTTCCCCTTTTTGTTTTGTTTCTCAATATGTAGAAAATACTAGAGCAGTATCCAAGAATCTCGGGTGCAAGAAGACAAATGACGAAGTTAGAAGTGTCAATCGGGTTGATGTTTTGATTCCAGATATAATTCAGGTTCTTATCTCTAGTGCTCTCGTCCTAATCTGAAGCATACAGACATAAGTGATCTCATATACAGTTGTTAAGGCTAGGATGGAAACATCAATCCCCTTAGTGAAATTCACAATAGACATCCAAATGCTAAAAGAAATATTTATATAGATGGATCAGTCATGTTTAGTGATGGTATCTCTGATGTTGCACGTTTTCTATATTCGGTATTGCTTAGAAGATGCGTTAGAAGTAGTGGAAGAATGCACCTAATGTGTAATACAGATTGTCTCAGATATTCAGAGTAGACTAAAACTCAGCATTAGAAATTTAATGACTTTAGAAGCTGAAAGATGTTTATTCCTTTTTTTGTTTTACTGCTACTTATCTCGTACACCTCCTTTGTTGCTCTAAAACGACAGTCGTCTGAGAGTGTCCTCATTCTTGAGTACATGGATGGAATTCGTTTGAATGATGTGGAATCTCTAGATGCGTTTGGTGTGGATAAACAAAAGATCGTTGAAGAGATCACTCGTGCATATGCCCATCAGATATTTGTTGATGGATTTTTTAATGGCGACCCTCATCCAGGTATGGTCTGAAACATGATCGTTTTTTCTGGAGTTCGCCAATTTTTATCTGTCTTGCAACTACCATGCTTGCTTAGACATAGTTTTCATCTAATACAAGTATACATCTCTGTTTTGCAGGAAATTTTCTTGTTAGTAAGGAACCACAACATCGTCCTATTTTACTTGATTTCGGGCTTACAAAGAAAATCTCACACTCCTTGAAACAAGCACTAGCCAAGATGTTTCTAGCATCGGCAGAGGTTTGTGAAGTTTATAACCCTGTCTTACCCAAGCTATTAGTCGATCATTTTGTAAGATGTTAGAATGATGAGTTTGTTCATTAACAGAATTGAAATGTTTTAAACAGTTGAACAAACTTCCACAAAAAAAAAAAAAAAAAAAAAAAAACCCAACTGAGCCAACTGCGCTCTGGTCATGTGAATATTATATGTTTGTAGAATCATAGGCCATAGCTTGGATTTTTAACTGCTTAATGTCACAGGGAGATCAAGTGGCGCTTTTGTCTGCCTTTGCAGAAATGGGACTGAAGCTGCGGCTAGACATGCCAGATCAGGCAATGAGTGTGGCAGGTCTCTTCTTCCGATCTTCAACTCCATCAAACGAAGCTATGGTAAGTAAATTTACTTCTTTCTTTCATGCCTCGCTTTCTCTATTGGGGTAACTTTAGTGGATCCGCTCTTACAGATTCCTCTCTTAATAGAAAACGTTAAAAACCCTGAACGATCAAAGAGTGCAAAATATGAAAGTTATACAGGAGAAGATGCAGCTCAACCCAAAAGAAGTTAAACGCTTCAATCCGGTAAGCAGAAATTTCTTTCAAGTATTGCCTTCTTACTTCTTAGTGACCATTTGTATCTCAATGAAAATATTTGATGCAGATAGATGCATTTCCTGGTGATATTGTTATTTTTGCAAGGGTCATTAATCTACTCAGAGGTATAATTTATGAATCATACTACTTTACCTCATTATATCAAATGATTTGCTCAATCATAGTACTTTACATTTTTTTACTTATTTACTTTGTCGACTGTTTAGGACTTTCATCTACTATGAATGTTCGGATCGTTTATCTGGATATCATGAGACCATTTGCCGAATCTGTTTTGTTGGGGTAAGTCTCCTTGGAATTTGGCAGCTCATTTTATTATCTACTTGTGATATATCCCCCATACGACCATTATGTGATTTTCAGGAGTATCAGTCGAGGACCAACTGTGGATGCTCATTGGATACATGACTCGCCAATCCATTCTGATGTAGAGTCCAAAGTGAGGAAGCTGCTTTCTGAACTTGGGAGTATCCAGAAAATACTTGGGATTCAGGTGGGCAACACTCTTTCATTGTTTGGCTTGTAGGCACCTTTCGTTTCATTTTACATTTGGTCTAACTCGGCCATGTTCGTTTAGGTATGTGCATATAAAGATGGGAAAGTCATTATTGACACTGCTGCTGGAGTGCTTGGAAGATATGACCCTCGTCCAGTTCAACCCGATAGTTTATTTCCTGTTTTCTCTGTGACAAAGGGTGTCACTGCCGGAATGATACATTGGCTTGTCGACAAAAGGTGAGTAACAACATTATAAGCTTTCAGAAATTTTCATGTATACATTTCACACACCCTGACATTCTGAATCGGCTTCAAGTCTTACATATAGGTCTCATTGTTTGTTCCATGATCTCGTTTACAGAACGCATGCTTAGTCATATTTTAGTAATGTTTAGTATTTAATGATACAGGAAACTCCAGCTCGACCAGACTGTGGCAAATATATGGCCAGGGTTCGGATCAAATGGAAAAGATACCATAAAGGTATAAGGAGCTACACTGTCACATAACCATTTCGCAATCTATTGTGAGATATTGCCTTTCATTTTAATACCTCGGTTTTGTGTTTCAGGTCCATCATGTGCTTAACCATACATCTGGGATGCACAATGCCTTTGACCCTGTAGGAGAAAATCCTCTGCTTATTTGTGACTGGGATGAATGTTTGAAACGGATTGCTAATTCATCACCTGAAACAGAGCCTGGCAATCAGCAGTTCTATCACTATCTCACGTTTGGATGGCTATGTGGTGGAATCCTCGAGGTAAACTAATCATATCATTCATTGTTGAAGCATAAAACTTTACCTCTACTATGTTGATGCCAATCTTGCTTGCATGAATCTTGAACAGTATGCTTCTGGAAAGAAATTCCAGGAGATCCTTGAAGAGTCCATTGTTAAACCCCTAAAGATTGATGGAGAACTGTACATTGGAATCCCCCCAGGTAAATAGTAACAGACGTTGTAAATTAAGCTACGAGCTTTATTAAGAATTATCTAACATCTTAATTATAGGTGTTGAATCTAGGCTTGCCACATTGACGTTCGACACTGATGAAATGAGCAAGCTTTCGTCCATTGCCAGTCAACCTGAGCTTCCTTCCTCATTTCAGCCTGAGAAAATCATACAAATGGCAACCAGTTTACCAGTCTTATTTAACACATTGAATGTGCGCAGAGCCATAATCCCTGCGGCTAATGGACATTGCTCTGCTCGTGCTCTTTCACGGTACTATGCAACCCTAGCAGATGGTGGCCTAGTGCCACCTCCACATTCATCTTTATCCCAGCCACCACTAGGTAGCCACACCCATGTTCCGAAATTCACATCGTTGAAAGACACAACGAAAAAGAGAAAGGGTAAGGAGATGGCAGCTACAGAAAAGCGTAAACCAAAAGATCATCAAGAGAGGAAGCTTTATGATGAGAAAAAGTTTACGAGTGCTAGTAGCAGCAGAGAGTCAAATACAGAAAGTTTAGCCAGGCTAGTTGATACTAGCAGTTCTGCTGGCAAAACTGAGATCAATAGCGATGATCATCAAGATGATATTCATAATATGTTTAGCAACCCGAGGATCCATGATGCTTTCATGGGTGCTGGAGATTACAGTGGCTTAGTAGTGCCTGATGGGAAGTTTGGACTTGGTTTTAAGCGCGTCTTTTCACAAGATGGGTCTCTGATTGGCTTTGGACATTCAGGGTTAGGAGGATCAACAGGCTTCTGTGACATTAAAAACAGATTTTCCATTGCAGTAACACTAAACAAGATGTCTATGGGAGGTGTGACGGCTAATATTATCCAGCTTGTTTGCTCAGAGTTAAATATCCCATTGCCTAAGGACTTCTCCCTTTCAACTGCTATGGGTCCAGATTCAGAGATGGGTACGCCTCTAATCAACTAAGGTTGGTTTTCTACCTAAGTTTTGCCTGCTCATGTTACAACATGCATAGCGCTCGCCTTAAATAGCTAATAGACATTGCTGGAAAGTAAAGTGTAATGATCAGTGTTTTTGTTTGTTTGTCTGTATACTTAAGGAACTGATTCGAGCAATTCCCTTGTAAGAATGTAATTTATTGGCCTATACCATTTGCAGGATTTCAAGCAATAAAGTATATGTTACACACAAATCTGATCAGTTTGTTTTCTTTCAAATCTTCCTAGGTTATGTATATGTAACAGGGGCCAGAACAAGATTAACTGTGAACTTGTTAACATAACTAGAGTTTATTGAACTTGAACGAACATGACGGCTTTCACTAGAAACACATACAGGAAATTCGCTGAGTGATCATTACATGTTCTGAAGAAAGAGAATCATGGCCAGATGTCTGAGACGCAGCTAACAGCTTCACTGGATACATTACCAAGTCCAGAGCTTGAGTTCTGCCCAGAAAGTGTCATTCCAGGGAAAAAAGATTGGTCACTGTGGACTGTAATGGCGGGTGAGGTATTTCCTGTGTAGTGCAGACTGTTGATGGAGTGTGATGGTGGACTTAGATGAGTTTGTAGAAGTTGGTTCAAGCTGCTAGTGAGGGACCCTCTAGCTACCAAATCTTCTGCTAGTTTCACCTATAAGTTACTTAACTTAGCACATTCCAGTTATTACCTTAGCAAATTGAAAGAGCAAGTGATAGATGATACCTTGACTCTCAGAGTTTCAACATCTGATTTGAGAACTCTGTTATTTGTTCCAGCGCTACGGAACTGTTGTGTTGCGTCTATGAGCTGCTTGTACAGTGTTGAGTTATCGCCTTTCAAAGAATCAACCTTGAAGAAAACACAAGGTCACCATCAAAACATTACTCTCGAAATCAAATCACCGAACAAGCTATTTGTTAACCGTACCTGAGTCTCAAGATCTACCAAGTACTCTTGCTTCCTTCTCCTCGACCGCTTTGCTGATTCTCTGTTTGAATTCATCCTGAATTTCACATCACAAAAAAAGATTAAAAGAAATGGTGATTCTCTATCTCAGTTTCTTACATCGAACTTTTTATCGGTACCTAACATACCTTCTAATACGTTTTAGATCATTGGGATCATTAGTCATTTCAGATTGGCCAGCTTCTGTCTCTGCATCTTCTTCATCAGAGTTAACATGAGAAGATCCACTTACGGTTCTCCTAACTCCCTCTCTTACCTCAGGTTTATTGGCTGACACTGGACTATCAGCTGACAGATTCTCTTTGCAGATAAGATCCGTACAAGTGAACATTAATATCAACTACAACAACACTTATTATATGCAGTCAAATCAAAGAGACATGCACATACCGCAGATTGAGGACTGTGCATCGCGAAAAGTTCCAGCCGGAATCAAGCCCTCAGACCACAAAAGAATATCTCTTAACTCACAAGTGTAATCCTGCAACCAAAAAAAAACAAGACTCTCATACTATAAAATCTCTGGATCTTGATATAGACACAAACAACAAAGATACTAACTAGAGAAACAACAGAAGGAAGAAACCAAAGACTAACCCGGTTCATGAGATCGAAACAAGGGTCTAGAGGGCTTGTAGTGAGATACTCTTGTAGAGCCAACTCTGAAGCACTTCTCTTCATACCAATGTCTTTAGCTGCGTGATTATCCATTTTGTTGTATGTGAACACACAAGAAAGAAGAAAATTGGTAAGAAAAAGAGAGGAGGGGAAGAGTAAGTTATGATAGACATCTTCTTTATATAACCCTCTCTTCTTTACTAAAGTTGTGAAAAAGCTTCTTAATGGCTAAGCAAAATTGAATTTGCTTTGTCAATGCAACGTCCTCATTTCCAACTTTTTTCTTTAATGACAACAATAACAAAAGAGACTCGAAAAGCAAAGCCACAGAGATATTAGGCTCTGTAGTTTTATTGAATATTATGGTACCAATTATATGCTCATGATAACCTTAAAATCCTTTAACTAGAGAACTAGAGAGACTATCTAAGGTAGCTGGAGACTCTTTTAAACATTAATTATGCGTATTAATGTTTTTTTGTCAACAACATTCATTATGCGGATTTGAATTTGAGTATATGCTGCGAAATCAGACGCATTAATATACTGGACCTTGTGCTTTTATAATGATTGTTATAAGCATATAAACAGATTAAATTCATAAAAGGATCCTAAAACATTTAGAAAAATGCCCTTAAATATTACAAAATCTTTGGATAAAATATAGTGGCTACTCATTTAAATTTGCATTCTAGCACATGTCAAGAACATTACACTAACATAAACTACTTAACTACAGATCCTGGTTCAATTCGAATTTGAAGTAACGACTAATTCAAGATTAAAATATACTGGCGAATTAGATTTTTTAAGTGGGTTTTTGGTTTTAGTTTTTCCAAAAATCTACTTTATACCATTCAAGATTTTACGAAAAATAGTTTTCCTAGTTTTTGTGTGTTTTTACAACTTTTCAAAGAAAAACCAAAATCCATATTTTTGAGGTTTTTCACTCAACAAAAACCGATATCCATCGAAACACCCAAAAGCTAAAATCCAAAAACCATTTTAAAAATCTACAAACATTCATGGCCTTAAAATCTAACCAAAAGTAATATACAATTGATTATAGGTATATTAGAAGAATATTTGTAATAGTCACATAGTCGAATAATGGAACTATAAAAACATTGGAATTTAATAATTTCATAAAACAGTAAAAACTAATCTTAATAGATAATTAATAATATTTGAACCAAAAATTTGATAATATTGTTTAATATTTTTTAGACGCTGATAATATATGTCAAATCATATAGTAAAAAAGTTTTTTAAAAAATAGTTTAATCATTCATTACCACAATACCAAAAAGAAAAAACTTAAGAATTTTCCGGTCACTAACAACACAAAATGCTTCTCTCTTTGTTTTCTCTTACTTTTCGTCATATGCTTTGTTAAAGCAGATCTAAAAGACGTTTCTTTTCTCCAGCACCAGAAATACTTTTTATTTCATTAACTTTTGTGCGTAAACCAACTTTTCTTTTTTTTTTTTTTTTTTTTTACTTTTCTTTCTTTTGATCTGCACTTCCTTTTAAAAAGTTAAAATATTTCACAACAAAACAATAAAAAGAAACAAACTAGGTAATGTGTCTTTAAAAAGTCAAAAGTTATTTAGATCCGAAAATAGAATCCAAAAGCATTTTAAAATAGCTTTTGTAATTTTTATTTTCATTAAACTAGAATTTTCGAACCTAGTGGACTACAATGTTTACGATTACCGACTACCGTACAATTTAGTAACTATAGTATCCTTTGCATTAGGAATAAGTAAATAAGTAGTGATGTTTACAATCACCATGTTCTATAATTTAGATGATGATTGAAATACGATTTTGTAAAAACCGAATTTCGACTAGAGGCTCATGCTAAATTTGTAAATTTAAATACAGAAAATAGGAATGAAAATTTAAAATATGAACACAAAAAGTAATTTCTCTGTTTCTACAAACTCTAATTGTAATCTCCAAACAATGTTTTGCAAAGAAAAAGAAAAGAAGAGGAAAGAAAATATAATTGATTAACAAAGGAAAAAAGAAACAAAAAGTATGACGTTGTTCTATGTCTAGTGATAACTAGAGTAGTTGGAGTGATTAAGTTTTCCGAAATTACTTTTCAAATCATAGAGCTGTGTTATTATATTTTGCGGTCATGGGTGGATAAATATGATTATAGAAAAAAAAATCTCATTTAAAATTCAAGACAAAAACAAGAATTCTCGTGACCAAATGAATTTTTATTGATTTTTTTTTTTTTTTTTTTTTTTTTTTTTTTTTTTTTTTTTTTTTATATTGAATTTTATGTAAAATTAAGGGTTATGACAAGTATCTTTAGTTATAGTTTTGAGGGACCAAATGAATGTTCCTAACAAACTTCAATTATCTTTTGATGCTATAATATTTAGTGTAGTAATTATATTTAGAATCTTTCTGTTTACAAAACGGAATTTATTATATTATTCCAATAAAAGATCATGTATAACGTGAACGAGATTGAAATTACCAGAGGTTATAGAGCACAAAATAATAAAAGTTTATAAAACCAAGGCCACAACAAGAGAAAATCTCCTAGTGCATTTATTAACAATCCGGAGGATATGACATCATCGTCATGTACTATCATCAAGCACCATCCTTTAACAAAAAAACTCATCTTGCGTCCTCTTCACCATCATTCGTAAGATCAGAGGCACGTCGGAAATCCACTACACGTGGTTTCTCTTTATTGTTGTTGCGTGACACGAAATCGAGGTTATAAAGAACAAGAACCATCACCAAAACGGTCGAGAACACGAGGATGGGACCAAAGATCCATAGCATTAGAGAAAAGCCAGCGTAGAACAACCTGTTACCTACCGTGTTGAGAAAGATACCCTTTTCGAACATCTCGCTGACGTGCTCAGACGTGAGGAAGAAGCAACCAGAAGGGTTAGGGTCTAAATTAGGGATGTTTACGAGAATTGTGACTTGGTTTAGGAAACGGATGGAGAGGGAGTGGAAGAAGAAGGAGAAGATGAAGATTGTGAGAATTGTTAGGTATTTGATTGATATGGCAAAATCTCCATGAGCTCCAAAAACGGCGTCGTTTAGAGGCTTCTTGATGCTGTAAGTACTGCTTAACACTGCGGCTAGACCCGCGCAGAGGAGCACGCAGGTCGTGGCCATTAGTGTAGCTCCCATTATTATGTTACGCAGTGTTTGTACGGCCAATATATTCGTCTTCTGATTCTCCTGAAAAATTAAACAACAAAAAAAACAATAACCAATCTTACATATATATATATATTTCTCCAATTATAAATTTTCTTTTATGAGAAGATTTCAGACCAACCAAGACTAGTTTCCCATACCATCTAAACTTATTAATCCTCAAACCAAAGCTCTAAGCGATGCGAGCGATAATGACTAATTTATAACATAATATTGTTATAATTTTTTACATTTTTGATAGGATCGGAAGAATACTATACAATGGAGATGAATATAAAAAACCTTGATCATAGCAGAAATCCACATCCGGCGGCCGTGAGAGTTAATGCCGAGGAGGGTGGAGAAGGGATGGGTTCGAACCATGAAGGACAAGTAGACGTGGTAGCAAATCATCATCATAAGAGCTAAGGGCACAAGAATCACGTCTAAGTACCATTTCTTCCACTCCATTTGCGCTCTCTCTCCTTCTCTTTTTTGTTTTTCTTTTTTTTTTCCAACCTCTTCAACTTTAATGATTTATTTTGTCTCCATATATATATATATATAGAACGATGAAAAAATAATCTTGCTTTTAACATAAAATTTTCAACCACATAAAATATAAGTATACAATACCTTAATTCTCATATCAGTTAATATACATATTTTCCCATAGTACATATATTATCAAAACACTTCCGAAACTCCTATATTTATCAAAACTTTCGAAAAAGATTATCTAGAATTTTAAATGGTGTGTACATAGATGTACATATTGTTGACTTGTTGTGTATCAGTATATATTTGGAGTAAATCTATTTATTCCATGTATTGTATAAAAAATGATGTACGTTTTCGTGTTTTAAGAAAATACAATAATAAACCATTAAATATTCCAATTAACCTTTTACGTGGTACTTAATATACTAATGTGGTATCATATCAATCTTCATCCTAAACCTTTAATCACCATGTCCATTGATTCGATCACCGTTGCCAACACCTCAAACCCAAGCAACACTTGTCACGATGAGTATGTTTTATTTTATTTTTGATATACCCGATTGGCTGATCCGGCCAGCCCCGATACAAAAGTAACAAATTTATCCTCTATGAACCACCTTACATGAAGTATACATATCAAATCTCTTCTAAAGGTTTATATGTAATCAAATACATTGAAGAATCTGCGTCTCCACCTCTGCCAACAATCATACTCAGCACTAGAGATAATGACTTTGAATCCAGAGGTACCAAACATCAGCACTAGCATTGGTTGACTAAAACTTCTTTTTGCATCCAGAAATCGCGAGTTTAAGCTGCGCTTAAGATGAGACGATATTACATGTTCTGGTTATGGCCATAAGTCCAAAATCTCTTAGTTCGAAAGTTTTTCAATTAAAGGTAATATCTTATATAATTCATTAGTACAATATTAGATCAACCATTAAAAGATTTCTATCAAGTAAATACCGGAACCAATAACAAAAGTAATTAGTAAGCTAGTGATAGAGAGGGCTCACTAATTGTTGACATAAAAAAAAATGAGGGCTCACTAATTAGTAGCTAAAACTCTTTTTCTCCGTTTAGTAAGCTAAATTAGTTAAAGAAACAGATCCAGACCGTCAAGACGTGTGATGAAGCAAGGCGTGTTATTATGGAAACAACATTAACTTTGGAAGGCGACATGCAATATGCACATATCTTTCTTTTTGAGTCATTTGAATCGTGTGTGTATGTAATTATTGAGTACTTACGCAACTTAAAATTCCTTTAGGACTTTTAAATATAAATATATATTATACCATTTTTTCACGTTTTTATAACGTACGCACTACAAGAAAACATGATTAAATCCTACAAAATTAAATCATAAACTTCGACACTGTGCCTGCAAATTGCAAAGACTATGTCGAAGACTAGTTGACCACTTCACAACAGTATCGTTACGACTCCAAAACGGTGTGCAAAGAAGCTTATTTCTACGCCAAAGGATTTTCCTTAAAGAACGACACCTACAATGTTTGGATCTTTGACCTTGACGACACCCTCCTCTCTAATGTTCCCTTGTATTATTACTTACCTAACCACCATACTTTGTATTCACACATAATCTCTAAGTTTCTTGAAATTCTATCAAATTTTCTTGTGAACATCATTTCCGTATATTTTAAAATGCTTAGATGTCAACATAATTTTGATATTTGTGTATTGAATTTCACATCTCTGACCTCAGTCTATTTTTTTCTTTAACTACATGGGATTTCATGTAAAACTACATTTTATATGTTTGGTTTCTTAGGACAAAGAAGCACGGCCCGGGGACATTCAGAAGTGGTTGGAGGTCGGAGAAGCTCCAGTGCTCCCCGAGACCTTGCATCTTTACCAAAACATCGTTGAAATTGGGATTAGCCCTGTCTTACTCACTGAACGATTCCAAGATTTGGAGGAAGTCACTCTAAAGAATCTCAAAGCTGCTGGCTTCACCTATTGGAACATGTCTTTTTCAAGTAAGGATAGTTAAAAATAGCTTTAATCATATACAATTATTAAGTATTTTAGTTAAAGTAGCTTAATCATATACAAACAGTAATTAATATTTGAGTGAATCGAAAGATATATGTATATGTGGAAACAAAGGCCAACAGGCTCAAACAAAAAGATATCGAGCTTCAAGTCAGAGGAGAGGAAGAAGCTAGAGAGGAGTGGCCACACGATCATTGGGAATATTGGAGACCAATGGGCTGATTTGACTAAGGACTTTCAAACTCACTAATCCACTATACTACAAGATCTAATTTAGCATCTTCTTCATTTCTTTCTCCCCATGCATGCACCACCTCATATGTCTTTTCGTTTATCTTTGTAACCACGCACTTACCACTGCTCAAATAAAATGTCCATCTTCTGAGAACTCAATAAATAAAATATTTTCTTATTAAGTGTAGTTGCTTTAAAAATAAGGGATGTTCAATTTGGAATTTTGTTAGGATTATTTACATTTTTGATTTTGCGGTTTTTTGAATAATTGTATATAAACTAATACATAATCTATTATGAATGGTTTGATACGGTTTGGTTTTGGTTTCGGTTTTGGATTCAGATATTAGTCAAACAGATCTTCAATTTTCGAAAAACTTTTGGCTTAAATCAATATTTTTTTCTGGTTCAATTTGGGTTACGAATATAAAAAAAAACTGATTCTGTAACAATTATATTAAAATATGGTTCAATTTACAGATTAATTTTTTGAATCATGTCAGATCGATTTACCATGATTAAATATCCTCTTTTTTTGGAGGCAACGAATACTCTTGCTTAAAATGATAAAAGTACAATGTTAAATTAACAAAATGAGATGCGAGAGTGTTAACTTTGGTCCACTCGTGTTTACAGCTTATCTGGGCTGCGCTGGGCTGAATCAATAAATTGGGCTCAAGTACTTAACGAGGATCAAAGGCTCAAAGCAAATGAGTGAAAACATAAGAGCAGATTCACTATTACAAAATTTATGCAAGTGTAGTAGCATGATAAATCATTACTTGGCCCTTCATGTGTGAAACATACTAGATGCAATTTTTGGTTTATTTGACTAATCATTGTAACATTTAGTCTATGTAAATGCTTTGTGTGGGCATTAATCAAATCAGAGAAAATCATCCTATACTATTATTTGGAGAGTACACTTTATAAGATACCCTTACCTAACCTTCCCTTTTATAAGAATTTACTTAAGAATGCCATTACAAAAATCTTCTTTTAGAACAAATTTCATTCAATTTATTAAGGATAAACAAGTAAAATACTAATTTATGTCATTTTTTTTTTTTGCCGTCTAGATTTATTATTTATTGCAAATTATGAGAACTTGTTACATAGACGATTCTACAACTGACAATTCCTTCCGACCCTTTATTAGATCCACGCCTGCGACACTTCTTTCTTCATGCATGTTACATGTGATTACCACAGCGATTAAAGGTTTCTTACTGTAGGACTGCATGTTACATGTGTTAACACAAATAACACAATATTATACCAATCTCGTTAATCATGTCTAAAGTATAAACTATCTTTTCTCATGAATAATTGAATATCTCTCACCATTTAATTACGTTCTCTGACCTACGTCGACATAAAGATTCTATATTTCATGCGGAAACTACTATTCCAGCACAACTTAATTTGCAAAAATTTGCTTTAATATATAAAAATTCTATTATACTAATCTAAAATATTTCGTCACGAGGTGGTATGCATAAAAAAAACTATATTGTTGGAAGACTGCACAATCTTCGTTGAAACCATAGCTATCACCAAGATACAATTTTTTGTGGAAAATCTTTCTGACAAAGAAAGTGTTCCTAATCTCGGGCACGAAAATTATTATTCAATCTTTATCAAGAACTAGTGAATAGTGATACAGCTATATATGTATGTTTGCTAATTTATTAAATTCTAGTTAAGCACACTATAACATTCCGGTTTTAGGAATATGGTGGTGCATGCGGAGAGGTTTAAGAGAATTGATTTGGTCATCTATGTCACCAAAGTGCACTTATCTTTTCGGTCAACTGTTCTCAGAGAATTCCACAGTTAAGCATTCTTGGGTTGGAGTAGTTTCAGGATGGATGACTTTCCGGGAAGTGATTGTCGGAACTGTGTGAGTGAGGACAAAACACAGGGAAAGATCATGTGGTGATTTGTAGGGTCGGTAAACAAGTCTTTAAAGCCTCCCGGACGTAGCGGACCGGCCGTCGAAAAATGGTAAACCACGGGCCGAGAAAGAACGTGGAACCCATTAAGAGAGAAGGCGGTCGGGGCATTACACACATAATCTCAACGTGCTCTAAAAACGAGTGGTGTAAGTGAAATATATCGTCGATTATAAACATTATGGGACCAGTAGCATTTGTTGCACCAATCGAAAACATACACGTACACTTATCTCCTCATTTTCCATCTGTCGTCATAAGAAACCATACTTAACCCTACCTCATTATAAATACCACCCTTTGTGTCACACAAATAAACATCACAAACTAAACAATAAACCATACAAAAAAAATATGAAAATCCTCTTACTTTCAGTTCTCTTGCTCTTGGCCGCTACGGTCTCGGCATCCGTTCCAGATCTCATCGAACTCGTCGATTCGAACACCATCTCTGGGAACGAAGCCGAACTCTTAGAGAAAGAGAAACTTTCCATCAACTACCACAACTGTAGAAGCTGGCACCTTGGTGTTGAGACTTCTAATATCATAGACTTCGACACGGTGCCCGCAAATTGCAAAGACTATGTTGAAGACTACTTGATCACTTCCAAACAATATCAATCTGACTCCAAAACGGTGTGCAAAGAGGCTTATTTCTACGCCAAAGGACTTGCCCTAAAGAACGACACCGTTAATGTTTGGATCTTTGACCTAGACGACACTCTCCTCTCTAGTATTCCCTACTACGCCAAATATGGATACGGGTATATACACATTATTATTATTAGTTCTACATATACCACCTCCATTGCATTGCATTAATAATATTATCTTCATATTTTTTTGAAAATGTTTAGATGTCAATATATATGGAAAGATACATTTCGGATTTATTTTATATAATTTTCAACTCTAAATAGTTTGACTGACACTGACCTAAATGTTTTGTTTTCTTTCATATGTACTGTGCAATTTCTTTTAAATGAAAGTCTTTTATTTTTCTTCTGGATTCTTAGGACAGAGAATACCGACCCGGGGGCGTACTGGTTGTGGTTAGGGACCGGAGCATCAACTCCCGGGCTCCCGGAGACTTTGCATCTTTACCAAAACATCTTAGAACTCGGGATTGAACCCATCATACTCAGTGACCGTTGGAAATTGTGGAAGAATGTCACTCTCGAGAATCTTGAGGCTGCTGGCGTGACCTACTGGAAGCATCTCATATTGAAGTAAGAATCAAGATTTATTATATATTTATATACAGTAGTTTTTTAAGTATCATATGTGATTGAATCGAGGACTAAATATGGCAACGCAGGCCAAACGGTTCGAACTTGAGGCAAGTGGTGTACAAGTCAAAGGTGAGGAAGAGCTTGGTAAAGAAAGGATACAACATCGTTGGGAATATTGGAGACCAATGGGCTGATTTGGTTGAGGATACTCCTGGAAGGGTTTTTAAGCTCCCAAATCCACTCTACTACGTACCTTCTTAAGCATCTATCTATCATCATGGCTTTGTCCCCTTGTATCCGCTTCATATATATCTATGTCGTTTTGTTTATCTATGTAGCCGTTTTGGCACCGATGCATAAATAAAATGTCTATGCTATCGTAACTTAATAAGAGCAAAGACTTCGTACTAAATGTTGTTTTTCTTTATATATAGGGATAATTTAATCAAGAGGCCATGACAGTTTGAATTTAATAAAAAGAAAACAAAAGTCAATTGGAAACTAATTTAGCACTTAATAGTTGAATAAAAGTAAAAATGAATTTTGACAAATTTGGAACAAAAATATTGCTATAGTTTTACATTATGAGATGTAAAAGAAAAATACTTGGGTTTAGAAATCACCCCCTTTATTTTATCCAATCAAAATCTGCCACCTAATAATAATAAAAAATTTATTTAATTATAAAATTTAATTTGCCACTAAAACGAAATTATGTATCGGTTTAGGTTTATTATAAAGGGTTAGAGTTTAGATTTTATAATTAAACGAGTTTAACTATCGGTTTGGGTTTATAACCATGTTTAGATTTTACAATTAAACGATAAGAAGTGTCGGTTTGGGTTTAGAAAGTACGATTAGGGTTTATATTTTTTACGATTAAACGAGTTTAAATGACGGTTTGGGTTTACAAAGGAGAATTAGGGTTTAGATTTTGTAATTAAACGAGATTATATATCGGTTTAGGTTTATAAAAGAGTGGTTATGACTTAATCTTATTGTTTTATTTAGAAAATATTGATTGTTTTATTTTTTTTAACTAGATGATATGGCAAATTCTAATTAGATAATTAAGAGGGGGTGAATGAAAGTGGTGAAATATGTTTACGATATATAGCATAATGTCACAATCTCGTAGATTAAAGTTTAATATGTGTCTTCATGTTGTAAGACACGTTTAATTATTGTACAGTAAAAAAATTAAATTATTACTCGTTAAATCATCAGCACACTAGAAGTATAATCCGACAAAAAGTAAATATGGTATAGAAAAAGTAAATCAGATAATTAAAAAAATATATACAACCAAAAAAAGATTTATTAGTTATTTAAATTATTGCCATTAATGAATGAATTTTTTTTTTTGGATAATTGACAAAAAAAAGTCCAATATTATATTTTATTTTCAATTTTAGCACTAAATTTCTGAAATTTTACAAATAGCACAAGCTTATATCTAGTGGGCAATTGTCAAGGATGCGTTATTGAGCCACAAAGACCACACGGGCCACAATAGACGAAATTGCCATAACATATCTTAAACCCTCGTCCTTGACATAACAATTGACCTGAAAATCGTCGGATTCTCGTTCTCGCTGTTCTCGTTACCATTTCATGTTCTCGCCAGATTCTCGTAATCTTCATCTTTTCTACACAAATCTAAAAATCTTTGTCACCTTCTCTCGCTGCAACCTAATCACTTCATCGATCTTGGATTTAAAACTCAAAGTAAGCTCGATTCCATAAACATACAGGAATGGTATGAATTGTTCCGAAATCAAACATTTTTTTTTTTAAATTACTAAGAGGTTCTGGGTCTAGTCGCGTACATTCCCTCAGGTTTAAAATCAAACATTTAGATAGGATATAAATCAAAAGCTTTCATAAAAAAACTTGTTTAATAACTTAAAACAAAAATGGATCTAACTCAAACATTTAGGAAAATTTTATCGAATTTCAGAAAGGCCTTCGTCAACATAAAAAAGCTATGTAATGTATACCAATGTAAAACATTCACATTATTTAACGTCTAAACTTGTATACCTCACATTTCTTATCTTACCGACATATTTCATCTCGTATGATTCAACCTACACAATACACGTACCTATCTCTTGTTGCCCACTGCGGAAGCTGCTGCCAATTACTCGTTTATCAAATATCACGTTTTGCACTATTGGCTTTGCCAATTATTTATCAACGAAAAAAAGTTTACTCTAAATTATTTCCGCAAACACGAGTTAACTCACATCAACAATTCAACATATTCAGATATATTTTTCTAGTAATGTAGAACAACTTCACAGTATCCTCTAAAACGAAACTATATAATTCAAAATTTACAAGCACAAAAGCCAAAAATAATAATAAAAAACAAAACAAGAAAACGCCAAATTCTAGTTTAGCACACAGTCTCAACGTGCTCTAAAAACGAGTGGTGTAAGTGAAAAATATCGTCGATTATAAACATTATGGGACCAGTAGCATTTGTTGCACCAATCTAAAACATACACGTACACTATCTCCTCATTTCCCATCGGTCGTCATAAGTAACCATACCTAACCCTACCTCATTATAAATACCACCCTTTGTGTCACACAAATAAGCATCACAAACTAAACATAAACCATAACACAAAAAAAAACATGAAAATCCTCTCACTTTCACTCCTCTTGCTCTTGGCCGCTACGGTCTCCCACGCCCGGTCTTCGGCATCCGTTCCAGGGCTCATCGAACTTCTCGAATCGAACACCATCTTTGGGGACGAAGTCGAACTCTTAGAGAAAGAGGGACTTACCATCAACTACCACAACTGCAGAAGCTGGCACCTTGGTGTTGAGACCTCTAACATCATAGACTTCGACACTGTGCCCGCAAATTGCAAAGACTATGTTGAAGACTACTTGATCACTTCCAAACAATATCAATCTGACTCCAAAACGGTGTGCAAAGAGGCTTATTTCTACGCCAAAGGACTTGCCCTAAAGAACGATACCGTCAATGTTTGGATCTTTGACCTAGACGACACTCTCCTCTCTAGTATCCCCTACTACGCCAAATATGGATACGGGTATACATATTATTGTTATTAGTTCTACCTACACCATCTCCATTGCATTAACAATATTATCTTCATTTTTTTTTTGAAAATGTCATATATGGAAAAACACGTTTCATTTGACAACTCTAAATAGTTTGATGCAAACTGTTTTTCTTTTGTCCATATCTACTTTGTGATTTCATTTTAATGTAGATTTGTTTTTTTTTTTTGGGATTCTTAGGACACAGAACACAGCCCCGGGGGCGTACTGGTCGTGGTTAAGGTCCGGAGAATCAACTCCAGGACTCCCGGAGACTTTGCATCTATACACAAACCTCTTAGAACTCGGGATTGAACCCATCATAATCTCTGACCGATGGGAGAGGTTGTCAGAAGTCACTCTCGAGAATCTCAAGGCTGCTGGTGTGACAAAATGGAAGCATCTCATATTCAAGTAAGCTTAATAATATACAGTAAGTAAGTATGATGTATATGCAATTTAATTGAGGATTAATTAAATATGGCAACGCAGGCCAAACCATTCGAAATTGCCGGAAGTGGTGTACAAGTCAGCGGTGAGGAAGAGCCTGGTGAAGAAAGGATACAACATCGTTGGGAATATTGGAGACCAATGGGCTGATTTGGTTGAGGATACTCCTGGAAGGGTCTTCAAGCTCCCAAATCCACTCTACTACGTACCTTCTTAAGCATCTATCATCATGTCTTTGTCCCCTTGTATCCACTTCATATCTATGTCTTTCCGTTTATGTTTGTAGCCGTTTAGGCACGGCTGCATAAATAAAATGTCTATCCTATCGTAACTTAATAAGAACAAAGACTTCGTACTAAATGTTGTTTTTCGTTATAGGGATAATTAATCAAGTGGCCAGGAAATGAAATGATACGTACAATTTGAATTTAATAAAAAAAAAATTGAATGTATTGGAAACTAATTTAGCACTTATTAGTTAAATAAAAGTAAAAATGAATTTTGAAAAATTTGGAACAAAAATATTGCTATAGTTTTACATTATGAGATGTAAAATATGGTTATGATATATAGCATAATGTCACAATCTCGTAGATTAAAGTTTAATATGTGTCTTCATGTTGTAAGACACGTTTAATTACTGACTTACTGTACAGTATAATCCAACTCGTTGATTATCATCAGCACACGAAAAGTATATTTATAATCCGACAAAAAGTAAACATGGTACAAAAAAATATCCAACAAAAAAAAAAGATATAATTATTTAAATTATTGCCATTAAATAATGAATATTTTTTTTTGGATTGTGGTTTTTGTTTAAGTTTTATGGAAATATGGTTACTTTTTCGTAACATATTACTTTTTCTTCATAACATGGTTACTTTTTGGTAACATATTATTTTTTATGTAAATATTTAATTTATTACTTAACGTCGTAACATCGAAATACTAAACTCTAATATTACATTAAAAATAAGTTGTTACGAGAAAAAAGATCAAATGACACTTATATAAAACATAAACTCGTCTTCTAAAAATATTTAGGTTCAAATGCGTATTTTTTCAATACCTCGTAGTTCATTGTTATATATGCCAATTATACAAGAAAATATTCCCGCCAACACAAGTTATACCCAAGTCCCTCATAGGCACAAACATTTTTTTTTGCTAATAATGTGGAACAGCTTCACAGAATTAGTATTCTATAAACCGAAACTCTGATTCAAAATTCACAAGAATAAAAGCCTACGATAATAATAAAAATGAAACAACAAAACGCCGAATTCTAAATTTAGCACGGTCACAACGTGCTCAATAAACGAGTGGTGTAAGTGAAATATCTCTTCGGTTATAAAACATAATGGGACCAGAAAGCATTTGCATCACTCGAAGCCATTCACGTACACTTATTATCTGAGTTATCTCCTCGTTGCCCATATTGTCGTCATAAGACGAGACCACACAGTAAACTAGCTTCACTTCACTATAAATACCACCCTTTGCATCACATAAAATATCATACTCTTAATTATCACCACTAATTTTCAAAGCCGGTGTGTGAATATTATACGCTATTTTTATTATATGTTGAGTAATTTATGTCCTTTTCAAAAATTCGAATCATAATATATGCAAAAAGTATATATATATATATATGAATACTTTAATTAGTCTATATTTATGTTTGATATGATTTAAATTTTTAAAATGAACATAAATTAATCGGAGAGTTACTCAAAAGGCTTAGTAAAGAGAAAAAATAACTAAAATAGCATGGTTTTGGATGAATAGTATTATCTTTTTTTAAAGGCAAACTTGCCCTCAAGGATGTGTGAGGGGAAAAAAAATATAACAAAATTGCCATTACAAAATATTACAGAATTGCCATGAAAAAGGTGGGAGAAGGAGAAATGGAGCGGCGGGAAAAAGTTGAGGATAAATCTTAGTGGCGACAGATTTGTAAAGCTGACAGATTTTTATGGTAGTTTTTATCAAATATGATAGACTTGTCAGTTTAGTTAGATAAATCTATCGTTTAGACACAGTAGATTGAAGTGAGGATGATAGATATATGAATTTTTGATTGAGTTACTTGGTAGATATTTTTTTAGTTATGGCAGAGTAATAGGTAAAGTAGATTTGTTTGGTACACTTTCATGCAGTTATGACAAAGTAATTAAAGAAATAGATTTTACTGGTAGACTTTTTAGAGGTGATGATAGAGTTATGATTTGGTAACAGACTAATGTAGTAGAGTTAAGTAAGAGATAGAAAGTCTGTGAGTAGTGAAGGTAGAGTGTTTAATTGTGATAGATTTATTATTGATCTGACAGACTTATCCAACAAATTAATTACTAGAGTAACACCTAAGTGATGGGAGACTTAATGTATGTTACGATAGAGTTGTTAGTTGAATAGTGTGTGGTGACAGAGTTTACAACACAATGTGGTGGTAGACTTAAAATCGAGAAAAACGCAATCCATAGCAAAAGTTTGTTCAGATAGACATGATAGAGTTAAGAGTGGTAGATTTATGCTAACTGATAAATCTATCACATCGTGATAATGGAAATTCCAGAACTACCCTCTCACTTTTAAGGTAATTACAAACATATCTACACTTGTAGGTTAAAGACTTTAACAGTGATAGCGAAGCTGAGTTGATCGAAGATCTCCTTTGAGTGTGTTGGCTTTGTTTATAGCTTAAGATCTCTTTTGAGTCCTTCTTTGCATATCTTATCAGATTAGTCTTGAAGTTGAATGTGCAAATGATATATATTCATTCAAACTCATGTTTTTTTGTTCTGTCTTAAAGATTGGATAATGTTGAGTTTCTTTGGGATTTGCTTGAACCCTAAGGCTCCGTCTTTGGTCTGAAAATTTCAAGCAGCTTGAACCTTTTATGCTGCTAACATGGCATGTTTTGTTCTGTCTTAAACGATGGATAATGATGACTTTCTTGGGAATCATTTACATTGTTCTCTTTGTGTGTACACAGTTCAGTATATTTGATTTGCTTGAACAATGAAGTTCCATTTTTATTTGAAGCAGCTAAAGAGAAAGCTTGAATCTAAATTTGGTTTCGTTCTTACTCATTTTAGGCTGCTAACTACTTGAATATCAAGGGAGTGTTGGACTTGACCTGCCAGGCAGTGGCCAATATGATTAAAGGGAAGAAGAGGTTCGCCGTGAGAATCAGTGGGTATTTGAATGAATAAAAATGAAGTTTGTGTCTTGTCCTCTTATCTTCTTTCTTTGACTATATATCCATTCTCTTCTCTGTGTTGGTCCAGCTAAGACATTGGGTCGGATGTTATGTTATGAATGTTAAAATTTTATACTTAACTACCAAACATATGGAAGTTATTGCTCAAGAGAGTGTTGGTCCTCTATTAATTCTTCAATCATTTTGATTTGTTGTGAGCACAAAGTGATAAGATTTGTCTGTCTAGACTTAAAAAAGAAAATATTTTATTACTTGTAAAACAAATGCCTATACAAGCACACACGAGAGAATGATAAATAATTATGATACAAGGACCTCTGCCTTAATCATTAAAAAAGGCCCATTCACACAAGTAATCAATGTGACGAGAGAAATTGAAAGACATAAATGTAGTAACTCGATGTTGGAAGCGTAGATTGTGATTCTAGCGAACCCTTCTGCAATTAAGTCTGACCTCATTACCATTCCCACTGATACTACTCATCTTGATCATGGATTTCACAAATGCCCTCTCGAACTCTTCGTTGGAATTCGCATACTTGGCCACGAGTTTCTTAGTAGAGGGCACTGCGAGAAGCGCTTCGTCAGATGAGAATAGTGACTTACCTTGAATAAGCATATAAGCATAGCGCCTAGTCCCAACAGCTGAAGCATAGCGCCTAGTCCCAACAGCTGAAGCTCTCTTCTAGGAACATTGTCAAAGATAGAAACCGATCAACGAGGTTAATGGTGAGGTAAAGCGTTTCTGGCATCAACTCAAACTTCCTGTGAACATCTACAAGCCAATCGATCAGAATCGATCTCATCTTCTCGTTTATCTCAGGCTGTGATCCTATATACTCTTTGATTCCTCCTTCCTCTTCTACAGTCCTATAAAACTTGAAGATGTCATCTACATATTCCACAGCAGCCAGTTCGTTGTTAGCATCGACATCATCAATGTTAATCACAGCATCCTTCGGTCCACTCGCAGCCTGGTAGACAATGAAAAAGAGGAGTCAGATCATCAAACATGGTGAATCTCAATCAAAAGATTTGAAATTTAAGTAATCTTGCTTCAAGCTCTGAAGGTTGCTGTAAAAGTCTTGGTTCCTCTTATATGAGTTCTTCTGCTAAAATGTGGTTTGAAGCTTTTCTCGGCTAATGACAATAACCTCGGCTTTTGTCTGCGGTTTCACCTTCTTCATAAGATCCTGAGAAGATAAATACTTTTATGAGTTCCAAATTTGGGTGAAAACAGCAACATGATCAAAGAAAGAAAGAGGCCAGAGATGTTTTGAAATAACCTTTCCGGGTACAATATCACGACCAGTGACGAGATTACTAATGTCTCCAAGAACTTTTCGGTTTTGTCTTCCATGTCCCGCAACATTCTTCGATTTGATTTCGCCTAACAAATTCAATTATAGCAAAAACCCATCAATATTAGCCTAATAGAAACTCGAAGTCTTGTCAGATCAGACAGAATCATGAACACACAGTACAAATTCTATATCAAAACTGCGTCAATTTGCCAAGAGATAATTTCAATCCAAATCAAAAGAAGGAAACAAAAAAATCAAGAACCTACCAAAATCAAAACTTTAAGACACAACGGATCAATCGATCAAGATCCATAACCAATTTAAACAATTTGTATCAAAATTGCGTCAAGTTTCTAAGTGATAATTTCAATCTCAATCAAATAGGTAACAAAACTCCACAAGAACCCACGTAATTGCAAGAAATCAAAGAAAACAATTACAGAGATCTAATTAAAAAGGTAGATAACAGATAAATTAATCAAAGATCCAGAAACAAAAACCTGCGATTCCACGTTGATGAGGAAGATCAGAGACTGTAGACGACATTATATCTGAAACTTGTTGTTCGTCTTCTTCTTCTGTGATCTGAAGTAACGCTCCTCCAAGACTCGTTAACAAAGAAGAAAAGAAATCCCGGAGACGACTCTTTCCCGTCCCGGCTTCGACCCAACCAGACGCCCTTGCAGCTAGCAACTTTAGATAGAAAAATTCTTCTCAAAACGACTACCCAGCTTGTCTACGAACAGTAGATCTGGAAGGGGTCGAAACCGAACACTAGACTTATCCTTCACCGAATAACTACAAACTTCGATCTCTTTCATTTCACAACCCACAACCCCTCACTACTTTCTCCAACCTTTCTACAAGCATATAAGAAAATTTCAGAGGAAACACCAGCTAGATCTCTCAAGAATCACAGATCTAGAATTTTAGGGTTGAAGCTTGAAGGTTGCGGCGGTGTCGCCCAAAAGAGAGAGAATTGAGACATTTTTTTTTTGGTTTTTTTTTTTCTTGTAAACATTATCATATGTTTAGTATTAAAACATTTAGGTTTTAGGATTGTTTTCTTTTATATTTAAGTTTGTTTTTTCTAAAATTTAATTCAAAATGGCACCAATTGTAAATATGAAAATATAATTAGGGTTTAAAGTATTTTTCAAACTTTTTTATGTCATTCTAGTAAAGATCATCTTGACTAAGCCTTTAGAATAATTAGTGGACTTTTTAAAGCCATTTGACGTAATTTCCCTAAATTAATCAACATATAAAGAACTTTAAAATTTTGATGACATAGTAATATGCATGCATTAAAAAATAAATTGTTGGTCAAAATGATATGGTATTCGTTTAGTGATTTCTAAATATTAGTTAAAATCTAATGTTATTACTCCAGTTAAAATTGATTCACAATTCATAAACCAGTTAAAATATACAAGACCATTTTGCAAATTACTAAAAACCAATTTTTTGTTGTTGTTATATATTATTACTAGATCATCACCCGTACTAAAGTACGGCTTGAATTTCATTTATTACAAAATTTATATATCATATAGTTATAGAATAAAATCGTGATATATTATAATAGTAAGTAAAAATATTAATTTTTTATGTCAGTCCATATATATATCATATTAGAATGAATATATTTTTATTTTTCTGTAATCCTCAATTATGGATATATTTTTTAAAGATATGAAAACGGAAAATAATATTATTTTCAAAAAAAAAAAATATTGTTTGAACAATGAGTTAATTTATGTTAACAACCACAAAATGAGAGTGCATATAATTTAGTTAGATCAAAAATCAAAATATCATAAATGAATCGCATCTAAACGTAGATTATTTTGAATTAGTTAAAAAAGTTAGCTATTATTTTGAATTAATTTAGGAAATTATTTTTTCAAATTCTAATTCATTGGTTGTTGAAATAGAGATTTGTTTGAGCTAATTACGGAATTTACCAATTATTCACATAATCGAATATGTTATGAACATATATTTGGTATATAATAATACCAAACTCGATCCGTGTGTAGAGTCTATATTTTCATTTTACAATCCCTATGAAAATATTGTGGCACAATCTATTATTCATTATTTCCAAAATTGCTTGCAGAATTAAATTTTCAAATATTTAGAAGTGTCAAACCTTATTTAACTCATCTCATCATAAAATCTTGAAATGTCGTCTATTATAAGGATCGTAACTTTCTATCATATAATACATTACTTTTAACCCGCCGCCTACTATAAATATATTAAACATATCTTTTTAGAAAATCAAATTAGTATTTATAAATTTTTTTTATCTTTTTAATCTATTAAATATTTATGATATTCTTTAATATATTAAATTAAACTTTTTTAAAATGTTCCAAATTAAAATCTTTAAAATTTTTATTGTAGTATGTAAAATTATGAATTTAAAAAATATATATATAAAATTAAATATAAATATTAAAATAGTTATAAGGATCATAACTCATTTCATCATATAATACATTATATTTAACCCGCCGCCTATTATAAATATTTGTTTCAAAAAATCAAATTAGAGTATTTATATTTCTTAACTTTTTGATCTATTAAGTATTGATGATATTTAAAAAATGAATATATTACTCAAATATGAATTTTTGACCCGTTAAATTTGTTTTTTCATACATTGAACAATTTATATTCGTTTTTAAAAATTCAAATCTTTGTATATGCGGAAAAAAATTTACTTTTTTTTATTATGTAGATGATATAATAATTTATTTATTTTATAGAAATAGAATAATATAAAGATGAGAGGTGAAGTATAGTGATTAATAACAAATTAATATGATAAGTTAGATATCAAATCTTATATGTTCATTTTGATTGGTCATTCTTTTTTTAAAAATTAATAATAGATTTTCGTTTTTATAATTAAATTAAATTAATTAAATTGCATAAAATAGTATTTGACTTGTTTATCCTTAATGAGTTGAATTAATTTACTCTATAAAATTTTATTTCTAATGGCATTCTTAAGTAAATTCTTACAAAAGGAAAGGTTAGTTAAGGGTATCTTATAAAGTGTACTCCCCAAATAATAGTATAGGATTAGGACCAGTTATGGTTACAAGATACGTTGAACCTAGACACGAACAAATAGAACACGTGCCTCTACACGAGTGTTAGTTGTAATCTATTTATATTGCATGGGACCAGCCTGTGCGTGGTATTATATGATTGCATGTGTCTCTGTTTCTATTGATCGTTGTCCATTTTCTGCGTAATTGAAGTGAGATTGTCTTTCATCGTATCAGTATCATTATCAATTTATCACCCGATTAAGTACCAATGCGATGAGCCAATTACTCAAATCATGGTCAAAAGAAATTAATGAATATACAATTTAACAATGATTCAATTTGTTCAAGTAGCTAGCTAGGAGCCTAGGAAATTATAATTTTTGTGGTTTGGATGATCTTACAATTAAAACCATCTCTTTTGGTCCCTTATTTTGAGAGGAAATATTTAAAAAATGAGGATTTTTTTTACTTACATCATTTTCTAGGAAAAACGTAAAATTGTGAATATTAAATTAATACATAAAACTAACTAGATTATAACCCGCGGTACACCGCGAGACTATATTTTTCTAAAAAAAAATCAAAATGTAATTTGTTTGATAGATTATTTTGATTGTTAATTTTAAGATTTTACCCGTACTATACTATCTTTTATAAGCCCGTCCCATCATATTATCCCGTCCCGTGAAATTAAACATTATTTAGTTAATTTTCTTTTTAATAATACTTTTATTTAAAAGATATATAATTCGAGTCAATTAAAAAATTTTCTTTTAAATGGTTCCCATAAGATATATATATATATATATACTAAATTTGTATAGAGTTTAAATATTATTAATATTTCAAACTTTTAATATAATTTAAATATTATAAATACTTTAAATGTTTTATAAAGTTTAAATATTTAGGTTGTTAAACTTTTGATAAAGTTTAAATATTTATAATATTTGAAAATTCATAAAAAAAATTAATATTAAAAATATTATAAACGTTTTATAAAGTTTAACTTTTTAAAATTTTTAAAGAATTATAAAATTTAACCTTTAATAAAGTTTAATATTTTTAATATTTAAAATGCATATAAAGTATAAATATTATTAATATTTGAATTTGTACTCTAAAAATTCAAATGTTAATATAGATAGATGTATACCATATAAAACTTCAAGATTTAGTTAGAAAAAGTAGGTGAATAAAAATAACCATATTAAAGAATCAGACTAAATTTTGAAGCATATGCTGCGGTAATCATCATTGATTTGCTGCACAACAGATTAAATGTTTAGTATATACACAAACAGAAAATATAAAATATGAACGTACGTATAACCAAAAAAAAAAATGAAAAGACATTTTTGTTGGCTTGCTAATGAGAGATTATAAAGGTTACCAGAAGTCACAATGAAGATGTGATATTTGGCTTGCTAAAGAGATGATATATATAGAGCTCATACTGAATATTTGGAAACAATTTTTGGAAATCGTTTAATTAAAAAAAATATGCAATATATATATTTCTTGTTATCGAATAAGAAGATATTATGTGTAAGAAATGTAGGAAATAAGAGTTTAATACTTTTATTATGGAGTCCCAAGAAAAATATTTTATTTCTATACATGTTATTCGTTTATTAATAATAAAAGAAATCAAATCCTTTAAATTAGATATTAACTAAAATAAACTCACCTTAATTACTTATTAAGTAACAACCAATAAATTTCACCAAAAAATAGGTAACAACTAATAAATTCTAAACGCAGTAATTAAAGAATGAGATCTTAAAAAAAGAATATCAAATAAGATATAAGAATCTTAAAATACTTGAATATCCAAATAATTTAATTGCTAGTGTCGATTTTAATGTCTTCCTTAATGTGGTTTTTTTTTACAGAGAAATATTTCCTAAAGATTATCACATTAATGACTTAGAAAATTAAGGAAGATTTGATTTTATGATTCTCGTAATTGTGTGGGTAATATCTTTAATTAATTTTTTTTCAAATTTAAATAATTAATGCTAATGGCATTCATCCGTAAATAAGGTGGAACTCCAGGATTTATTTGCTAAATGTACTCCAAAAATGTATATATAGATCTTTTTCTTTTCAAAATGATGTACCATTGGAAAATAATTTCCCTAATTTTTTATGTTTCTTTTCTCAAAACATGGGACTATTAAAAATTAAATGGTTTTTTAAAAATTAAAAATAAATAGTAAGTGAGAATATACTTGAAATAATATTTTTTTCGAAGAAAAACTCAAACTCATTTTAGTGTAATCGTTTAGAATGAAAAAATGATCGTAATCATTCGAGATGTACTAAGGTATTTGAGACGTTTTGAAAGATAAAATATGAAAAAAAATATGGTGGCAAGTGTGGAAGTCTGTTTCTCCAATTCTCCTTGTAATTCGTCTTCTTTTTTTTTGTTGGGTCTGTATGACTGTATCAATGGAAAAGTTGTTAAAGAAAAAAATAATATGAAAACATTATTTTTTTTAAGTAAAACAATAGTTTAAAGTTATAGTAAGCTCTCCCATATTGTACCCAAATCATTTGTTACTTTGTTCTTATTCTTTTTTGCCAAGATCTCAAATATATAGGTAAAATGCTCTTTTGTAATACCTAAACTTTTTATTTCTTAATGATATTTATATCCATAGCAAAAAAAAAAAAAAAAAAAAACAAGAATAGTTATACAGGACAATTAACAATGTGCTAAGAGCATGGGCAGTGGGGCAAGCAGGTGGGTGTGAGTCTTGGGGTGTAGGTATTAAAAAAACGAAAAAATTGTCTCTCTCTTCACACCCGGGTGTAAGTTTACACTCGGGTGTAACACTTTTTCTCTCTATCTCTCTCTTTCTTTCTCTTTCTCTTTTTTCTTTTGCTTTAAATTATAATACTAAAAAAATACTTACACCCACACAAACACATTTGCCACTGCTGATGGTCTAAGGTGTGAGAATATTCATTCATGATATAGGATATTCGGTTTTTCAATTTAACCTATCATGAACATTATGAAGTAAGATAAGCCCAAACGAGCCCACTATAAGCCCAATAATAACTCATGTCATCGTTTGTTTTCTTCATTTTTCTTGTAATTACGGCGTGACAAATTCCACCAGAATGTCGAACGCAGAAGAAACTAAAGTAGAAATGTTTGAATCCATTGCAAGATTAGTATGGAATTTCGGATTAATTAACGAAAGGTTGGTGGCGACAATAACTTGCATCTAACGTGGGACCTCTAAAGCTGTAAAGTCACCATTTTTAATTTTTTCTTGGATCACTTAAGCTCAATGGTGGTTGGTGATTTCGGTGTTAGGTGAAGAAGCTCTGTTTCTTCCTCTTCTTCTTCTTCTTCAGGGTCGGTGTTAGGTGAAGAAGCTCTGTTTCTTCGTCTTCTTCTTCATCAGGGTTTCTTCACTTTGTGCTTGAAGCAAGAAAATTTGGGATAAACAATGTCGTCTTCTTCTTCTTCCTTGGAACAACCTGGAGTCATAACCTGCAAAGGTAAAGCAAAAAAGGGTTTTTGTTTTTGTCCTCGTTTATGAAAGATTAGGTTTGATTGAGAAATTCTGTAGCGGCGGTGGCATGGCGTGCTGGTGAGCCATTGGTTATGGAGGAAGTTGAAGTGAGTCCACCTCAACCTCTTGAGATCAGAATCAAAGTTGTATGTACATCTCTCTGTCGTAGTGATCTTTCTGCTTGGGAATCTCAGGTTTGTAGTTTCTCTTCTTTACTATATAACCTGTTCATGAATTTGGCTTTTTAAGTGTGCGTCTCTGATGAAGTCTCTCCATTTGTTGGTACAGTCTCTTTTGCCTCGAATATTTGGCCATGAAGCTGCAGGGTACGCTACATTTTGTCTATAACCTCATTTTTTTACATTAGGCAAGCATAGGAACAAGTTAAGAAAATTAGCTTCATTTCGGATTTGTAGAATGTGATAAGGTATTGAGTGCTCTAATGTTGTTCTTAGTAGTGATTTAGCAGCATTGTTGCGGTTTTTAGTGTAGGACTATTGTAATTAGCTTTGTCAGCTTAGGATCAGACCTTACCAGTTAATTGAGAGGTGATGGTTTATAGAAGAGCGAAGAGACTGTGCTGGGGGGATTCTGGATTTGTCTAGAGTCTTGGTTTAGGCATTGCGGCATCAGGCGAGAGTTAGAGAATTCTATTGTTAATAGTAGCTTCTATGGTGTACTTGTTTGTGAATTGAGTAAAGAAAGAGTTTACCGGTTTGAATCCTAGCATTGTGTCTATGGATGTTACTGCAGTATAGTAGAGAGCATTGGAGAAGGTGTAACCGAGTTTGAGAAAGGAGATCATGTGCTCGCTGTATTCACTGGAGAATGTGGGTCATGTCGGCATTGCATCTCTGGGAAAAGTAATATGTGTCAGGTTCTTGGAATGGAGAGGAAAGGTTTGATGCATAGTGATCAGAAGACACGCTTCACCATCAAAGGCAAACCTGTTTACCATTACTGCGCGGTTTCAAGTTTCAGCGAGTACACTGTGGTTCACTCTGGCTGTGCTGTCAAAGTCGATCCTTTGGCACCTCTGCACAAAATTTGTCTGCTAAGCTGTGGAGTAGGTGCAGGTAGTTAAAAACATATTTTTAAAAATTGATGAAATTCTAAGAGTTATTTAGAGTCAATACTGAGAATATTGGGTGCTATTTTAGGTCTTGGTGCAGCATGGAATGTTGCTGATGTACAAAAAGGTTCAAGTGTTGTGATATTTGGTCTTGGAACTGTCGGTCTTTCGGTAAGTATAGATACAGTCATACAGAAGTTTTGATGCTTCCGTGTTAATGGAGTCTGATGTGGGATTAATCTCTTACGAGTAGGTTGCTCAAGGTGCCAAACTCAGAGGAGCAACTCAAATAATTGGAGTTGATATAAATCCAGCTAAGGCTGAACAAGGTATATATTATAGCATTAAGATATAACACGTTTCTGGACTGGTTTTGAGTCTTTCTTATTTGTTTCAGGAAAGACATTTGGCGTCACGGATTTCATCAATTCAAATGACCTCTCTGAACCTATACCCCAGGTAATTACAGTGTCTTCCAGTTTGTGCTTATAATAGCATAACTAACGCTGGTGTTTTCGATAAAATGTTGTTCCTATGTTGGTTACATTGTAATTGCCTGTGTAAAAATTTGAACCAATGTGTTGGGATTTTAGGTAATCAAAAGAATGACAGGAGGAGGTGCGGATTTCTCATTCGAATGTGTCGGTGATACAGGAGTAGCTACTACTGCTTTACAATCGTGCTCGGATGTAAGATTTCTGTTTTATTTGTACTCACATTGTTTAAATTTTGCTCACTATATTGTACACAAAGGCTTTTTTAAAACCTTTTCAATGTGGATAACTCAGGGATGGGGAATGACGGTTACTCTAGGTGTACCGAAAGTGAAGCCTGAAGTTTCAGCTCATTACGGACTTTTCCTTTCCGGGAAATCTTTAAAAGGGACTCTATTTGGTGGTTGGAAGCCTAAATCTGATCTTCCTTCACTCATTGAAAAGTACATGAACAAGGTATATAAGCATGCAGCTACATTAGCAAAATCACTTTTAGTCGATGAAACAGTTTGTTTACGTTTTCACTCTTCCGTGGCGCAGGAGATTATGATCGATGAATTGGTTACGCATAACCTGGCATTTGATGAAATCAACAAAGCTTTTGATCTTATGAGAGATGGAAAGTGTCTGCGTTGTGTTCTTCACATGCCAAAGTAATGTCTTGGAAAAACATATGTACAGTTTCAAGAAAGATCAAGAAATAATCTGTTTTTTTTTTTCCATAAAGATTTGGAGCAACATTGGTTTCGCTTTGCCACATGATGATTTCAAACAAGTGTCTAGAAACAATCATTCTTATTTTTTGTACCGCTATTTCTTACTTCTTCTAGTCATTCCGGTAATGCTTACCGCTCCATCTTCCAGCTAAATAATTATTACCGCTTTGTATCACCAATCGAACCCACAATCTTTACTTGAGCGGAATATAGTCCGTTCGAACCATTTGAAACGCTTTTACTGAATGAGTCGTCCAAATGTCTTTAAAACGCGATTTGAAAGTTGCAAACGCGTTTTATTGGTGATCGTTATGTATTAGACGCGGTAGCTGCGGTTAACACTTCATCGGAGCAAGAGCACCAATGGAGGAGGAATCGGAGAGAAGGAAAGCCATCGCTCTCTTCATGGCTTTCGGTACCAAAGGCGATGTCTACCCTCTCGCTGTAATCTCTCTATCTCTACTCTCAGAATCTCGATTCATAATTTGGGTTCGCTTAAAGAAGTTGTTTTGTTTTTCGCAGGCCATTGCCGCAGCTTTCGCTCGTGTTCAGAAACACTACTGTGTGGTTTTGATGTCACATTTGGCTCATGAGGTTGGTTCTTTCTTATTCTTCTCTTAAAGTTCTCGACTTGCAGAAACTACGTTCTCGAATCAAAGATATAGAGGTTGATTTGTTGCAGAACCTAAGCTCTCACTTGATCAAAGCAAACGTTTCCTATTTTCCTATCAATTCTCCTCCTGCTCTGTCTAGTGAACCTCAGAGTACTCAAAACGGAACAGGTCAATACTCTGATTTTAGTTTCTTCCTCATTTATGGTTTTCTTCTTCTTACTTAGCTTTGACCATTCATCAATTCTGGTTTCAAGCAGAGAAACTATTTTTGGAGGAAAAAGAAAGGATAAAAAGGGAACACAGACAAGAGTGTCATTCTGCATTCAGAAGCATTTTCGGAAAGGATTCTTGTATGGAGGGTGATTTCGTTGTCATAAATTTCTTTGCATTGGTACATCTACTTAATACTCTCTCCTTTGTACCAGGATTGATTGTGTCTGCTTTATCTCGAGTTACTAACTGTGGTTCATCTGCTTGTACATTTAGGAAGGATGGAGCCTTGCAGAACTTTTCCAAATCCGTTGTGTGGTAGCGGCTCCTTATGTTGTTCCGTATAGGTAACTTTGTAGCTTACAATTATGAGTGTGACATCCTGGAAATGGAAGATGATCACTTGCAATTCTTCTTTTCTACAGTCCACCATCAGGCTTTGAAAGACAGTTTAGGAAGGAACTCCCAGGTTTGTACAAGTACTTGAAAGAAGCCCCCATCGGCAAGGTATTGCATATGCTTGTGATACAAACATGCAATTGGTGTTATTTTCTCCTGAAACATTCTAGTGTCTGTGTTTTTGCAGGTTAGCTGGAGTGATGTAACTCATTGGATGTGGCCTCTTTTTACTGAAGAATGGGGATCGTGGCGCTACGAGGAACTCAACCTAAGTTGTTACCCTTTTGCAGTATGTATTTTCTAAACACAGAGACCTAGAATGATACATTTTATTGTGAAAAATGATAGTGTGAACTGTCACCCGATTTACTCATTGGATGCAGGATCCAGTAACAGACCTTCCAATTTCGCATAGCCGGCCGCCATCTCCCTTGGTCTTGTGAGTTGTGAATTTTCTTGGTGGTAAAATCTGATCAACTTTGCAATCTATCTTGCTATCACGATTTTATCTTCATATACTAAGTATTTACTGGTTACTTGATCTATCATCTATCTAATGTACTTTCTCACTTTATATGTCCAACACTGGCTGATATCTGATTAAATACTAAGAACTCTGAAATTTTAAGTAATTTCGTTGTAAAACCCAGATGAAACTGCATAAGTTTGTAAGTGACCTATTACGTATTTTCCTTGTGACAGGTATGGTTTCAGCAAAGAAATCGTCGAATGCCCTGGTATGTGGGATATTTGTCGCTTCTACCGAATATTTTTCTGTGCTTTGCTAGCATCTTTTTTACAAAAAGTTATCTGGATAGTAGTTTTATTCTTCTTTCTTTTCGGTATATTTTGCAGTTATATTCTTACCATAATACCATTTATGAATTCTTGAGAAAATATGTGATTGGAACTTTATACCAGAGAAGAAAAAGGTTAAAACAGACCCAAATTTAAAAGGATGTCTGTTTTCATTTGGAAGAAAGGGGTAGAAACTAATTGAATGTAGCAGATCCATACTTAAACATTACTCTTGTTTGCCACGCAGTTGTGTTTCTGCCTTGAGAACACATTATAAAATCTCAGTGTAATCGTCATTGACCTGGAAAAGCTTCGTTCTCTGCGTTTCACTGCATCCATTTATTCTTATTAACAGATTATTGGCCATTGAGCGTTCGAGTCTGCGGCTTTTGGTTTCTGCCCAATGAATGGCAGTTTTCGTGCAACAAGTGTGGAGACAATTCTTTTGCAGGGCTCCTGGGTACAGACGATTCCCATACATGCTCAAATCACACTGAGTTGTATACTTTTATATCGTCTTGTGAGCCAGCTCTGCCTATCTTTGTAGGGTTGAGTTCTGTTGGAAGGTCTAAATTTAATTTGATCCCTCTGAAACAGTTCTGATAATGTTTTCAACACCTTTTGTGTCAGAAGAATACTGAGACTTATTCTGTCAGATATTTAAACCATGCTGAATTAGTGTACGGTAGTAATTTTTCTTTTTGCTTTTGCAGCATGGGCTTTGTAAGGGATCCAGTAGCCTTTCTTCGAGTTCTCCAATCTGTTATCCAGATTACAGGTTACAGATTTATCATTTTCACAGCAGGTTATGGACCTTTAGATGCAGCAATTGGGACCATTGCTAATAGATCAGATTCAAGTGAGAAACAACCGTTACATGCGGGAATCTCTATTTTCAACGGCAAGCTTTTCTGCTTCTCTGGGTGAGCACAAATTTGCCCAATATTTAGTTGGTGATTATTTACCTAAAAAATAAAAGATCATTGTATTTGGACATGGCAAAACCTATATTACAGTGTGACCGTATAACCTACTTAATTCTTTGTCTCTCTGAATTAGTATGGTCCCATACAATTGGTTGTTTCGAAGATGCGCTGCAGCAATTCATCATGGTGGCAGGTGAAAATGTCAGCTGGATGCCTTTTCCTGGTGAACATGGACACACATAGTTAGACATGAACTGATTTTTTCTTGTCTTGTGTATGAATTATCCCCTGTGGAAATCAGTGGTTCTGTTGCTGCAGCATTACAGGGTGGAATCCCGCAGGTTTGTGTTTGTATGTTAGTTTATTAGATCTTTGATATATAATGGTAAAAGTAATTGTTTGTCTAGAAGGATCAGTAGAAATTTAGCTGTACAGTAACTAGTACATCAGAAGAAGGTGTCATGTTTCTTCAATAATGTATGCTATATGATAACTTATCCACAAACTTTACTAGTACTTGCTCATAAACCATAGTTCTGTGCACTGCTTGGTTACAAATGATGATTGACGTTCTTAAAGCTTTATCAATTTCAAGTCGCAATGCCAAAAAGTGACAACATAATGTGTGTGTATGCCTTTCTACAGATCATATGCCCATTTATGCTCGATCAGTTCTATTGGGCAGAAAAGATGTCTTGGCTTGGAGTTGCTCCTCAACCATTGAAAAGAAACCATCTGCTTCTAGAGGAACCAAATGATGAAAACATCATGGAAGCTGCACAAGTGGTAGCAAAAGCAATATACGATGCACTGTCTGCAAAAACTAGGGCTCGTGCCATGGAAATTGCTGAAATATTATCTCTTGAGGTAACTAGTTACGATCAGTTTATTATTCTCTCCTACTGATCCATCTCCCCAGAATCAACGTATCCTTTCTTCCCATGGAGTCTTCTATTTCATAGTTTGAGTATTTTGTGGCAACTGATAGTTTTAGGGTATCCAAAAAATTGATGATTTCAGGATGGAGTCACAGAAGCTGTGAGAGTGCTTAAAGAAGAGGTGTGTGTAGTTTCAGGCAGCAACCGAATGTTTGGATGAGCATCGTCATATACAACGTAAAGCTTACATCAAGTGATGGTGATCAATGCATACCGATTATTGGCAACCAGAAAAGAACGTCTACTTTCTTTTTCTACTATTAATGTTGCCAAGTCTCCAAGGCTCAAACCAAGGCATATAGCTGCTTGTCTTATAGTTGAGCTTCTTTTGATAGTACAATTTTTTTTTATGAAAATTTCATCTGCTCATAAAAGAATAATATCCGAATAAAATTCGAAAAACCAAGATAACATAAACTAGAACAAAATAAAAGAAATTCAATAATTTGCTTCATTTCACACTTGATCGTGGAGCCAGGCCGCTGGTCCTCAAAGTGCCATAATGAAACCGACCATCCTTTATCACACTTTTAGCAATCGAAGAAGGCCGAAAGCGCCACCACACGAAACTCACATTCTCCCCAGGAGTCTGCAACATCAAGAATTTAATTCAAGAGGTTAAGGTATTTAGATGCTAAGGTTTTAAGACATTGATTATTTTATTGTTTAGAAAAATCTTAGGAAAAAAAGGTAGAAAATAAACCAAATTACGTTTTAGCCGGTTAGGGTAATCAAATTTGTAAACATTAGGCACGTTTGGTCTAGTCCGGTTAGTCTTGTGAAGAAGAAGAAAGAAGAAGAGAGAAGACAAGTCTTTTTGTTTCGTCGGGAAAAAAAACCCTACGATATTCTTCGACTCGTTCGCACTACTCCGACCACCGTCTATTTTCTTCTTCTCCCGGCGGAGAAAAATTCGTCACTGGAATATGAAATAGCGATTGAAAGATGTTTGAAGGAATTGTGCAAGGAGTTGTTCAACTGTTGTTAGGGTACTTAGGTCGCTACATCAAAGACATTAAAAAAGACCAGCTCAAGATCACACTCTGGAATGGTATTTGCACGTCTTCTCTCGTTCTCTTTCGCTCTATTCTCACTCTATTGGATGATTTACGCACAATTTCGTGCTTCTATCTGTAGGGGAAGTCTTGTTGGAGAACGTGGAACTGATTCTTGAGGCGTTTGAGTATTTACAGCTTCCAATTGCTCTCAAGCAAGGTGATATAGTTAGTCGATTGAAGTTTCGATTCTGTTAGCTTTTTCGTTTTCTCTGTATCAAATCGTTTGTTGTTTATCTAGGCCGTGTTGGGAAATTGAGCATTAAAATTCCATGGAAGAAACTTGGTAGGGATCCTATAATCATTATGCTTGAAGATGTCTTTATATGTGCATCACAACGGAATGATCAAGAGGTGAATTCCTTGTATAGTAGCCTTTTTTTCTATACATGACAAGTGTTTGCCTCTAAACCCGTATATATTGCAGTGGAGTTCAGATGTCGTTGAGAAAAGAGAGTTTGCTGGTAAGCAAGCTAAGCTTGCTGCTGCAGAACTAGCAAAATTGTCCAGGCGCGTCGGTGAGCAAATATCCTTCTTATTTATCTTTAAGATTGCTCCTATGCAACATTTGTCCAACCCCTTCAATCTTTACTTTTTCCAGACAGTCCAGCGGGGAAGTCTTTTTTCTCATTTATTGCTGCCAAGGTGACATTATGTTCCGCAAGTCTCCTTTTGCAACCTTAGTTTTAGCATCTTACATTTTTCGTATTATGATTGGTCTGTTGCCGGTTTTTAAGGATGCGTAGATCTTCCTGCTTTTGGATGAGGTTATCATTCTTGTCTGTTTTTTTGTACTATGTTAACTTTCCTTCTTTATTGGCTTAGGTTCTTGATAACATTCAAGTGTCCATCAGAAACTTTCACATCTTATACTCCGATGCACAACCTGAATCAGTAAGTCTTCTGCTTGTTCTGTTTAATTAGTTTGCTAGAATATAGGCTTGTATTTTTTTATTCTCCCATTGCAATTATAGAAACTTATATACATCGATAATCGTTCTGTGATCTTGGTTTATTTGTGAGAGCATAACATTTATCATGGAGGATATGAATCTAGATAGATTTAAATATTTGAGCATTGTGATGCTAAATTACTATCAGTCTTTCTTGCGATTCACTAGAGTACAATTTGAACAATCGTTTGGTGTTGTCTACTTTCCCACTTTCATATGTTTTACTCTAAACTGCTGTCGCAGGTGCAAGTTGTATTAGGATTGCGGTTTTCAAGCTTGACAGTTACTAAACAAAACTCAGTTGGGTAATCTCTTTATGCACCTTCTCTGGCACTTTAAAATATATTCCACTTTGTGTTTGATTCTGAGCTTTGCTTTATTTTTATGTCAAGGATATGTTCTTTGAATTATATTGTGAGACAGCAGAGAGCATACCCCACATTAATTTCTTTCCAGTTGCCTTGTTTCTTCTATATCACTTAAAAATATATTCCACTTTCGTATTTGATTCCTTGTAGCTTTGCATTACTCTATGGTAAGGTGATGTGTTTTGAATCACATTGTGAGACAGCATAGAGTATACCCCATTATAACTTTCTTCCAACTGTCTCTTTTCTTACTGTAAAATTTCCTTAATACCTGTTTCTTCCATAAGCTAAATTGTTGTTGCTAAGATAAGATCATGGTGGATATATGTGCACCCTGAAATATTTGACATGATGTCTCTGTTGAATATCAGGCCATCAGTTGGTAGGGTGAGAGGGGGGCAAGTGAATATACTTGTGGAGATTGAAGGTTTGGAAATATATTGTGACATGTATGAGGGAAACATGGACTTTCCAAGTGTTAATGAAAAAAGAGGTTTTGACAACTGGTGCCAGTCAAGATTGCAAAGCAATATATTTGGTTATTTACTGAAGCCAGTCCATGTTTCTGTAACGCTATTGGTAATGGATCTAAAACAGCGTCATTGGTTTGCTGTCTTTTAACATCTTTTGTTAGCATCTAATCTTTGTTGCTGCTTCAAGGCGCTGCATCCTTGCTCTAGCTTTACGGTTATGTTAAAAATGAGATGTACACATTTATATGTTATATCTGCTGTACTGAGTCTATTTCTTGATTTACCTGATGGCCTACGCAATTTTGATGACATTTTAATCAGTCAATGTTACTAGAAATGATTTACATTGCCGTTTTTGCCAATTCGTTTAATTGTCACCATCAGCTCCATATGGACATTGTATTTGGTGAAAGATTTTTACAGCTATCTGATCAATGATACAATATTTATACAGAAAGCACATTGGTGTGCATCAGCTATTGTTTGAGTGCATTTTAGTGTTGTATGTAAATAGGCATTCTTCATTTTGCCTGATACACTTCTTTGCATAGGTCAATCGATCTGGAGAGATTTTTGACGATCTTCCTCAGTATTCTATCAGCGCTGAGTTGACTGATGTGGTTAGTTCTCAGAAATTGCTAAACTAGGTTCAGAGCTAAGATTTATTTTCATGACTCACTCTAACTTCCACTTATGCGTTTCAGGTCATGACTCTGAATGAATTTCAATTGCAGCAGATTCTTATTCTGTTAGATTACTTGCAAACCAGCCAATTGCGTGAGAGGTAAGCCTTTCATTAGGGTAGCGATAACTTTTCCTCAATTCATATTTTTTTTTCTCCTGAGTTTTAGCTCTACTATTTGACACTACAGAACGTTTCGAAGAACTACTGATTTAAGAACATTTTAAATGGTTTAGGTATGGGCGGTATCGTCCCTGCTCCACTTCCATATTGAGGAAACCACCAGGATGGCAGAAACTTTGGTGGCACTATGCCCAAAAATCAATTTTATCTGATGTACGTAAGAAACTGTGGAAAACTTCATGGAGATTTCTTGAACAGCGAATGTAAGTTTACTTTTCTGACATCATTTCTTTTATTTTAATTAGATGATGCTTAATCACATATCTATTACAATTTTGATTCTCTTAAAATTTCTGTATCCTTTACTTCCACGCAAATAACTTACTGTTTCATGGCATAAGTAGAAAAATACTCCCGGAATATATTCAAGCGGTCTGCTTAATTTTTAGATTTTTGTTTCGGGAAAAAATACAGGAGAATGCGCAGGAGGTATATCAACTTCTACAAGATAAAGCTAGATTTCCTTCTCAGAGAACAGGCAAGGATCTTATTTTCCTCCTTATCTGATTAGAAGTGTCAGGGTTTGTTCATTATGTTGCTCTGTGTCCTCCTATTTGTTTAACTGCATGAAATTGCCTAACCCAACCCGTTGGATTTTATGTAGATATAGAAGCCTCATTATTTTTAGGTGATTTTACATAATTAGGGAGCATCTCATGAGGTGGTTTTTCATTTCAATGTGTTTTGTCCTCTTAACTACTGCAGCAGCATGTATATGAATGGGTAGTGGACCTAGTGGTAAGGAGATGGTTTAGAAGCACATTTCACATCATATAAGTCCATCAGGGAGCATAGTATGAGGTGATTAATCATCTGGTTGTGTTCTAAGAATGCGTAGTGGTAAGGAGAAGATGATTTAGAAGCATATTTGAATAAGGGCTGCCATTTTTGAAAATCTTATATCTTAGCATGTGCTTCCATATGAATGATTTATTCTGGTTTATTGCATAGGTAGCTGTAGCAGTGAAGGGAACTTTTAAACTTGTTGGAATGTTGGAATCAGAGGTAGAAATTGCATAATATACTTGGTTTAAGCGTCATCATACATTTCAAAAAACGGAAATTGAAGAAACACTTAATCTTCTTCTAACATCAATAAAATACTCTATAGGAGCTTATCATCGTAAAAATGTAGTTGTTCTGAAATTGCTGACTGAAAGAAATACATATGTTCATTGTTCTCTTCCCTAAACTTTTTGTTGCTTTGCCTTAGTCTCCAACATATGTTACTAAGATGCTTTACGTTGGACATATTTGTTCAACTAATTCGTGTAACCTTCATATCTAATCATCTATAACATTTTAAAACCTGAGTTTTTCTTGTCAAGTGACTTCTCTACTAATATGGCTGTGCTTTATGCCTCTGGCTACAGTCAATCGATGAGTCTATCCGTTTGGGTTTGGAAGAAGTCGAGAAGAAGTCTGATATTGATGATATCTTAAGTTATAGGTCTGCAGCGGAAGGTGAGATGCAGGTATGGTAAATTAGGTTGCTGTTGTAGCATTTTATACTTTGGCTGAGATACCAAAGGCTGTTCAGATATCTATCAGAAGTTGATGTCCTAGCAATGGCAATTTATTATCTGTCCTTTTACCTTTGGATCTTATTATGCAGGAAGCTTGTTCAGAATTGACAGTGAACATGGGAGCGACTGGTGCCACTGGCTCCGGAAAGGAACAGAGCGCCCCTGAAAAGGAACCGAGTGACGATCCTACATTAAATAAGTCGCGTGGGTGGTTGAACTGGTTGTCACGGGGAATGCTTGGTGCCGGAGGCACAGAGGATTCAAGTCAGTTTTCTGGTGTTGTTTCTGATGAAGTTGTCAAGGTATTTTAAGTACCATTTAGTAGCAATGGAGTTTCAGAATTCTTTGAAACATCCTAGTAACTGTTCATCCATTGCAGGATATACACAAGGCAACAAAGTTTCACCCTCTTTCGTCATCTCCTAGAAATACAAGTGCAACTGGTAAGATCTGTACGTGCTCCATTCGACTCAACGTACCCAAAATTTCTGGTACTTTGCAACATATAACTGGGTAAGTTACAATTTCTCAGTTACTTCATCTTGGCCTCTGCCTTTTAGAGTTTGTATTTTCATTCTTTTTTATCTTATTTATTCCACAGGAGTTCTTCTCAAGTTATTTCAGAGTTGGACATTTTGGGGGTGATTGTTGAATGCAAGTCTTGGAAAGATTCTACAGCCATGATTGTATCTGTTATTTCTGGAAGGCTGCTCTATCCTCACAATGGGAAAGAAATATTAACCATGAAAGGGGTTTGTGTCCTAATATTGTGTTACCCCTATGCCATATTGTTAATAACTGCTAATATCTGAAATCATGAACATTATCAAACTAGTACTTGTTTACTAAGGTGATATGAACCATCTAGGTGTAACTTATGCTCCGTAGTCTGTTATAAAAATCGATTTTAGCGCTTTTCATAATGTTTACAGGAAAAATAATTTAATTGTTTCATGCAGGTCTGTTCTCAGAGTGATACACTAGAAACGAAACCCTCATATGGAGCACGATTGAAGTTGTCTAAAGATCATGATGTTGCATTGTCATTAAAGGTGAACTAACTGCACCTTGCATCAGTGGACAACACAATGTTTGCTCCTCTCAGGAGTCTTGGTCTTTTTTCATAGCTTACTATTAGGATTGACTTTGTTATAGATTTTTGCATCTTGATTCTGTAGGTCACCCTTCAACCACTTGAAGCTGCTTATGATGTAGACTTCTTTCTAGCTGTCAGTAAATTTTTCATGGGTTCAAGATACTTCAAACTCCAACATGAAAGGGTGAGCTCTTATTTTACTACATGCTCGTAATGTTTGTTCTGAAATAATTAGTGAAGTTTTTGAAAAACAAGTTTTAAGCAAGTGTGGTTATAAGTAGAATATAATGTCAGTTTGTCTCTGTGATTGTACTGGACTTATGAATTCTATAGATTGTATTTATGAATTGACAAAGGAACCCATTAACGATTCTCTTTTGTGGCTCAGATTTTATCATCACTCAATGGCCTTGAAAGTGAAACGCGATTGGTAGCGAAAGCTGAGTAAGTGTTTCCTCTATCGAAATGTGGGATAAATTCATATCCTAATTGATCGTGATACTTATTTGTGTCGTGGTTTGTTTCATAGATACCTCTTATCAAGCCGAAATAAAGTTAAGTGGGACCTGGACATAAAAGATCTTACCTTAAGTTTCCCTGGACGATTGGTTGAATCAGAAAGCTATAATCTGGTATTTCGCTTATATAAACATATAAGTGTCTGTGTTTTCTTATTTGTATCCTTCTCAGTATTTATTCTATCTTTCTGTGCATTTCCTTGTACAGGTTCTGGTATTGGAATCTCTTTCTATCACATCTAGTAGCACAGATGCTCTTAGCCCAAGTCCAAGATTGGAGTCTGATGCGGACCATGTGGTCAATAGCTTACAAAGTTCCGTTGCAGCCTTGGATGCTTTTCAAGTCAAAGATCTCTATGACCATTTTGATATCAAAATCTGTAACCTTGAGGTAAGATATGTTTATGTTAATTTTCTTTTTCTTTTTGATTGGAGCTGTTTAAGCAATCACATATGTTCTTACATGTGCATCTTGTGCAGATGAAGCTCATGAAGATTCATCCTTTCCAAGAACTTCCCCTTGTGGAGAAATCATCTTTACTTATCAAGTTTGCGTCTTGTATAATTCCGGAGGAGTCGATTTCGAAGCAGTTGGAGGTATTACAATTTATCTCAGGTTTGAGGTGGCTGTGTCTAAGTTTAGCTGAGTGAATGATAAACTTACTTATTTCTTGTACTTTAATAGAGGCGTCGACCACATTTTGGAATTGATTTTTGCCATTCCATTCATTTTCAGGTTGAAGCTACTCTGCCTATGTTCAATGTCCATTTCTCTCCGTCAATATTTAAAGGAGTCATGTCTGTGATTGAATATCTTGATATTCAGGATCATGGAGCTCGAAATGCTCCACCTTCCCCTGCTCCCATCTTTCACTTCACCATAAAAACCAACTTGGCATTTTTCAGGTTGCACGTCAATCTCGAAAATGAAGGAGAAAATAGCACAGTGATTGTTCTTTCTATACAGCAGCTGGATCTCTGGTAGGTAATTGTTGCAACGGTAAAAGTAGCCCATTTTGTGTCTTTATACAGTATCAGTGGAAATTTAACCTTTAGCTATTAAACAAGCATGAATTTAGCGTTTTTGTTGTTGTATATCTGTATTTACCATGGTGATGTCTGCTTGTTCACATGCTTCTTATCACACATATTTGGTCTTACGATCACTACCTATAACTCATCTACTGATCTCATTGTCAAAACCACGTCCATTCTAATTCTTTTTCTCTTGGTTCTCAATTGTTAAATATTGTATCACTGGGGGTTCCTGACAAGTTCCCTTGTACAATCGTCATTTTCAGGTATTCGCTTACCAAATTTGAAGAGTGGTCAGTCCGTGCGAAAACACTGGAAATGACAGCTTGCTCCTCTAAAGATGCAGCTGACAGTCATATTTTATGTTCATCTGCAAATCTACTCAAATCTTCTTCCCATGGACATGGGATGGATGCTCATACTAGCGATCAAACCAACATTATTGATTACGGAACAACTCCTGAAGCTGCTATCAGCTTAAATTGCAAGGTTTCCCAAAGTAAAAGTTTTGTTTTTCACAAGTATACAGTCTATTGGAGGGGCGCTGAACTCCATTGCTACCCATACATATTTGGTTTGCTGACAAATTTTTTGGATAAGATAGCCTCCTATAAGATCTCGTCTAGCGATACAAATCCATCTAGCCTTACTACAGATACCAGTGCTCCAGCAGAAATTCCTCAGTTTGATTTTGAAAGGTTTGGATTCTCAAACTTCATTGAAAGTAGATCTTGTGGCTGCATTCCTCTTGACAAATATCCATTTGTAACCATTTACAATTCGGGTTCTCTTGATAGCCTAGAAAGTTCTCTGTGTTATTCGACTTTTGACTGGAGGAAGTTATTTATATTAAGGAATAAAAAGGATGGGGCACAAATAGGTTTGAACTGCGAATGTAACAGCTGTACTTTTCAACCAAAACGTGATTGCCCTCTGAATGGGCTTGCGTCATCCAGTGATCTTGGTCAGACCAATCACTTTACAGTTGATATGCATGTCTTCAACACCAATGTGCATTTTCATGATTCTTCAAGTGTTTTTGGAACTATTATACTGCCAGTATCCAGATACTTTCTTACCATTTCAGATGATCATCTCGATTTGGTTGCCTCTGCTGAAGACTTGATGCTGGAGTCATCTTTGTTCACCAACTATTCTGGTGGGTTTCTTTGGAAACATTCATCAACAGATGTCTCGCAGGTCTTGAACCTACGTGTAAGGAAGAAGGATTTGGAGCCTTCTGGTTCTGAACTTGAAGTGAGCATAGGTATTCAACACACATGCTGCATTTTACCTCCGGAATATCTGGCCATTATAATTGGCTACTTCTCTCTTTCTGACTGGACTTCGAAGTCTGGCCTGCAGTCGTTGCCACAAGCTACTGAGTTGACCAAGGCTCCTTCTGAGTTTGCCATTGCTTATAAAATTGAGATACTGGACTCCTCTATAGTTCTTCCTGTGGAAGATGATGACCGCCGGCAACTGAAAGTTGACATTCAGCAGTTATATATTAGCTTTGTTCCAGAGTGTGCTTTGAACAATGTGGTGCAGCACATACCACAGGAATGTGTTATTCCGCTTAATCAAGTAGCAGAGCGAGCTGACTGTTTAAACATATTTGGGCGGGACTTATCGGTATCATTGCTGCTTTCTGAGAGTGGCATATCAACATTCGAGAAGGACGCCATGTGCAGAAGTATCACTCTAGCTGCTAGCATTATTGCTGATGCTTGGATTAGCTTCCCTTGTGATCGCAATCCGCTAACGGATTTGGCATGTGTTATGTCAAGGGTTGACGTTTGTGAAATTGTTGTGGATGGTAGGTGGTGTTTCCCTCCATGTTAACTTTTGCTCCTCAACCCTCTCTGTTTTTCTACAGTGATCATGTATTTCAAGTAATGCTTACATGTGTTATCTTTTTTCTTTTTCTTTGCAGATTCAGATGCCTTGGATGGGTTTAAGGCATTTCTTGATGTGGTTGATCAGCTTTCTTTAGTCGATGAGGAATCAAAACTTTTCGTGTCTGATGTTCCTCAGTTTCTTCGTACGAAGATGCGTCTAAAGCAAGAGTTGTCAGTTGCCCCCCTGGGATCTTCCACAAGCTTTATAAAATTCAGAATTTTTGTCAATCTTTTGACGTCAAAACTGCATCGGTTAAGGAAAGATCCTGGAACACTGCTATCCGAACCAGTGCTCCAAGCTGATATGAAATTTGTTTGCTCTGGAGAATTTAAAAATAATTTCCCTATGAGCTTGGATGTTCAATTTTTCGAAATCGGGATTTATTCATTGCTGAGCTCAGTCATGTTAGCTAGATGCATCAATGCATATGGGGATCCTTCTGCACTGAAAGTCAGATTTACGGAACAGGCTGAAAATGAATACGATCTCTGTTTTTCTCTTCCATCTCTAGACATCTGGTTACACTCTTTTGATTGGATTGAAGTTATTGAACTTCTGAAATCTTATTCCCAGATACTGGAAGACCCTTTTTTGTCAAAAGGTTCAAACTTGGATATGGATGAATCTATTGGAGTGGTAAGGACTATTTGTGACAATACTGATCGGGTTTTGAATGTTCTGCAAACTGAGGTATCAGAGAACTCTAGTGAGGTAATGGCATTTTCCGCAAGATCAGAGACTATTGGGGTCCAAATCCATTTTCCTCTTTGCACAAGCCATACAGAATTTCCAGGGTTCATGGCAACTGATGTTCATGAGATATCTGAGGAAGAGCACACAAATTTTTTTAAAGGGAATTACTGTAAATATGTTTCTGTTACAGCGCGTAGTAGGAGCGGCGAACTCTCTATTCTTGGGAGAGATGTCAAACTGAGCTATAAGATTGAAAAAGCTCAATGGGATTCTTGCAATATCTGGGGTTGACACTGTCAGGTCTTGCTCTCTATTTGGGGCGGCACAACTACTTGTAGAAACTAGTATTCAGATGGATCAGAACAAAATCATGAGCATAGATGTGGGGATATTGTCTGACAATGTAGAGATGCATGCATCTCATCAAGTATTATCTTTCTGGCATGGAATTACGTTTGATGCACCTGAGACACCATCTTCACAAAATTCGCAAGGAAACATGAGTATAAAAGTCCAGATAAGAGATGTGTCTCTTCTTATATCTGATGGAAAGGTACGCTTGTGCTTTATATACTAAATAATACATCTCTCAATGTTATTTCACACAGAATTGGCCTCACAATTATTCACTTTTGCTGCTTATGTGTATATCATTGTTATTGTGTTGCCACTTCTGTTGTGCCAGTCCATGTCTTTGTTTGGCAGTTCACATCTCTTTGCTCGATTTCTACATGCTAATGTAATTTTTTAAGAATACACTGCACCATTGATCTCACTTTTATATTCATCAAGTGCTGCATTAGCATATACCTTGTACTGTGTGTGTTTGTCTTCGTGATCAGTTAATGTATGAATTTAATGGTACTTCTTTGTAATTAGTGCTTAAGATGACGATTTTAATATTTCTTCACCGACGAGCTTGATTTGATGGGTGAATTTTGGTTGGTAAGGGTCTGCGTTCTGTTGTCTAGAACATATTTTCTTCCATGATTGTCTGTGAGCTCCTTGTCTATTAGCTTTTGCACTATATATGCCACTGGTCAGCTTGAAATTTTTGAGCTACTTCTGCTGAAGACTTCTCCTGTCTCTATATTCTCATGCAGTGGGGATGTAGCGGTATGCTTCTTGAAGTTCTTATGAGAAACTTTCTCCTGCAAGCTAATCTGACCGAAAAGAATATGGAGAGTTTGGTTTCATGTGATCTTGAAGTGAATTATAATAATATGCACAAGGTACGAGGCAGAAACAGAATCCTGCTGTCATTTTTATCTTTGTTTTGGTAGTATGCTGATAACCACCTGTGGATCTATGTTGAAGGTCTTGTGGGAGCCTTTTATTGAGCCCTGGAATTTTGATATCAAATTATCCCGAAAATTGATGCAAATTCTTTGCTGAACAATGCTGGGCTCACTGAAGTAATTGTTGCATCATCAAATCATCTCAATTTGAACATAACAGAATCTCTTTTTGAGGTAAGATAGATATAATTTCTTCCCTGTTAAAATCTTCTGTAGTAATTAATATTGGCAGGGACTGGTTAGTTTCAGTCAGCTTGGTTTAATACTGTGATTTTGGTGCTAAATCCTATAATCATATTTCTCACTAGTTTTCAGATAGGATGAGTAGCTTCCAACTTCTGTCTAACTTGTATTATTGATAAGACTCTGGGTATTTAAATAGTCTCACATCGGATGGGAGGGAACCAAATCAAAACTTTAGAAAACCTCAGGGCACCAAAACCCTTAACTAGTTTTTGTTGTCAGTTCTACCAATGGTCTTTGTGGGCTTGGTTTGGCTCACTCCTTATCAATCATCAACGGAAATATGTTTGGCAAACTCATTATCTGTAAACCCTAAGTTCCATATATGTTAATTTGTCCTTTCTCTGCTGAAGTGCATTTTCAGGATAATTGAGATGTCGAACACTTTGGAATTGATGGAAACAGATGTCATTCCTGATGATAAGGGATTGTCAGTTTACTGCACCAAAAGTTTCCAGGACAGAACGATATTCCCCATATGTACTTCAGAATTTAACTTCTCTTCCTTTGGGGTACCAAGTTTTCAAGGACATGATTCAGATGTGCTAAATATGTCAGCTCCAGTGGCTCAGAACTTTGTGCAACCCGGTTCTTCTGTTCCCATCTATATCGATAATAGTGACACACTACTTATTCCTGATAGACGTCGAAGTCAATTTGGTTGTTTCAGCAGTGAATCTGGTGATTGCCATACATCATTATATGAAAGGTCCAACTTGATGGAACATCTTTTGCTTCTCCTCCTCATTCAATGGATCGAATTGGCCTTTCCTATTTTGAGGTTGATTTTTCCAAAACATCGAACTCCAGTGATAATGTTGAGAAAGCAAGTAAATCTGGTTCTGGAAGCAGCTTTGTTGTTCCTGTTGTGTACGAGGTTTCATTGCAGCAGCAGAGCAAGTTGATACGAGTATACTCTACTGTATGTATGACGTCATTACAATGTATATTTGTTCTTATAAATGTTGATTCTGCGTTTGACCTTTCCCTTATTTCAGGTTATAATTTTGAACTCCACATCCATGCCATTGGAACTTCGCTTTGATATTCCGTTTGGCATCTCCCCAAAGGTTATTGAATTCTAATATGCCAGTTTGTTCTATCTGTACCAGACACTGTTTCTGTGCTTCTTAAGAAAATTAAGCTTTGTTTCTTTTCTTTTCTAGTTTGCCTTACCTGGTTGATCTGAACACCATCTTTTTATTCTTATTATGTCAATTCTATTTCAGATCCTAGATCCTATTTTTCCTGGTCAAGAATTTCCACTGCCTCTACACTTGGCCAAATCTGGCCGGCTTCGGTGGCGTCCCCTCGGAGATTCTTATTTGTGGAGTGAAGCTCATAGCATCTCCAAAGTTCTTTCTCAAGATAGCAGGATAGGATTTCGCCGATCTTTTGCTTGTTATCCTTGTCACCCTAGCCATGAACCATTTCGGTGTTGCATATCTGTTCAGAGCACTAGCTTGCCGGCATCCTTTTCATCTTAATGATTTGCAGATGGAAATTTTGGTCAGCAGTTGCACGATCTTGACCAATCAAGAGAGCGATTCATTCATCAAGTAACTTTAAGCACTCCATTTGTTGTGAGGCAACTGTCTTCCAGAACCAATATCACTTCTATCGAAAGTGGTGGCATCACTCAGACTGCATCCCTTCCTGAGGTCTGAGAGATATTTCCATAACAATTTCCTTCTGGAAGATAGAGTTGAATCATGTTTTTATATGGTTGATATGGTATTATATATGTGACAAGAAAATGTATCTTTTTAGGGGGAGACGCCATTCCATCACATTGATCCTTCACATGATCTGGTCCTTGAGTTCAAACTAAATGGCTATAGATCATCATCTTGAAGTTTTCACGCTCAGAAACTTTAGCTCAGCGGCTAAGTTCAGTGGAGGGAAGTTCTCTCAGATTGAAACTATTTCCTTTGATTCTTAAGTTGGTGGTGTAAGGTTTATCTCTTTATGGTTTAAAATTGGCTACTCGCATTTTGAGACCATTTTACTATTGAAATTAATCTTAATAGGTTCTGTTTATGTATCGTGGTGAGAAAACAATGGATGCAACAGTTGGGGCTCGGGAAGTATTCATCTGGTTGTCCCATTCTATTGTACCAACTGCACTGGAACTCCTCTTGATTGTTTCAAGACTGCACCAATGAAAACTAAAAAGCGATGTACAGCGTAATTCCCTCCTGCTGACAACCTGATTGATCAGCATTTTGTTCAAAGTCGAAAAGTTGGTCTTGGGATTTTGACCTCTTGAGAAAGATTGCTAGAATAAAGTTCTAATGGAGGATATCCCTTCTAGTTCTTCCTCAATCGTAGTGCAAGCACACTGCTTCCCGTACTGAGAGATTTTTGGATATGCAATGTGACTCAGTCAACTCGCCAAGTCCCTTTTGCAGCATATCCAAAAGACTCACCAATTGTTCGCAAGAGGAGTCTTTCTTCAAAAAGTTTAAGAGAGGTGTGCTTCCAAGGTAATGAGTCTGGCAAAGTAAAGGCATGCATTTATTCACCTTGCCCTATTTCCAGGGCCAGTGACACCATGATCCGAGTCAAAAGGGACCTGCCAGAGTGGGATAATTCAAGTAGCCCATACCCCCTGTGGTCTGCTCCATTTCCTCTTGTTCCACCCAGTGGTTCTACCAATGTAATTGTCCCACAACCATCGCCTGGTGAATCAGCTTTATTATCTGTTACGTGTTCTATTCTTGGTGGTGCATTAGCAGGGAGAACGCAAGCAATTACTTTCCAACCTAGGTGATAGACAGTTTCACCAAATGCTCTTTTTTTTCTCCTGAACCATTATCCCTATGTATCCACTAAACAAATTCCCATGTTGCAGATATGTCATCTGTAATTCATGCAGCCATAACTTGTGTTACAAGCAGAAGGGAACCAATTTAGTTTCTCATCTGGCTGTTGGACAGCATTGTCAGCTTCAATGGACAGATACTGCGAGGTTCGTTCATTACTTATTTAAGTCTTATAACACATTCTTCGTATTAAGGCGTGAATAATTCCGTTTCTCATCCCTCAAAATCTGGAAATCATTTGGAAACCACCACTGTTGCTATATAATATTTACCTTACCTTGTATTGAGAGAATTTACAGTTAAAAGATTCTACCTATACGCCACTTACTCTTCTATATAAACAGGGAGTTACTAGTTTCAATCCGTTTAAATGAGCCTGGATGGCAATGGTCAGGCAGCTTCTTGCCAGATCATTTAGGGGATACTCAACTGAAGATTTGGAACTATGTTAATAAAGCTTTCAACATGGTGCGGGTGGAAGTTCAGAATGCCAATATGTCAAGCGGAGATGAAAAGATTGTAGGGAGTGTTCATGGACATGTCGGGACAAACTTTATTCTATTATCAGATGACGACATGGGTTATATGCCTTACAGGATTGATAATTTCTCGAATGAGGTCAGTATTGTTACGGTTGATGGTTCTTTAAATCCAACTAAAGAGTTTTAGTTATTCTTCCTGTCAGTTCACAGGTCGTTAAACTCTACAAATTTAAGTAGCATTGTCTGTATACTTCAAAGCATTCAGAACATTAAATTGAGTAATCCATATCTATCAGACCTAAAGTTGTACTTGATTCTCTTTGGTATCAATCGTGTGAGCTATGCTAGTTGTCTTTACTGTAGCATGTAAATTTGGGACCAAGTGTAATTGTTGGTGAAAACATTTTCCTACTGGAAAACTTGCTTTCTGAATCGCCGATGTGTGATATCATATTGATTTTGTAATCCTTACTTACTCCCACAAGGAACTGAATATGGATTTTTTTTTTTGTGGTGATAGAGACTGAGGGTTTATCAACAAAAATGTGAAACTTTTGATACCATAGTTCATCCTTACACATCTTGCCCTTATGCTTGGGATGAACCCTGTTATCCACATCGTTTGACCATTGAGGTATGGTGATTACATTTTCTGCTTAATAACAAATCAGTTCTTTGTATCGATTGAAGTTTATCATTGCTGCTGTTCTCTTCCTTTCCCTTTCTTACGTTGTTTTCTCTTGTTGATGTATATAGGTGCCTGGAGATCGTGTCATAGGCTCTTATGCATTTGAGATAACAAAACAACCTATTGCAGTGCACTTGCGCTCCACCTCTGAGGTATATATCACAAACAACTTTGTTATGTATATATTTGTGGTTATCATTGCTTTTGCTGAGTGGTTCGTACATTCTAGACGAATCTATATATTGGAATGTCTTACCAGCATACTTTCGTTGTGCATTGGTTATGAACAAAAAATACTAGCCAATCTCTCATTAGTCTAATTTAGGATAATATTCGCATGAAATTTGAGTGAGTTACGTCCTGAGTCTTTTAGCCTAATGTAGAGTATCTCCAAATTTCCTTTTCCAAATTAAGTTTGAACTCAAACAGTATAGGCTTTCTGGGCCTGCTAAAATGATGAGATGGAGTGGATTAAACTTTTCAATATCCAGTCGCATGCAGCTCTGGACGATATGAATGCATGCTTTGTTTTTTTTTTTTTGGTATGTATGCAGAAATTCAAGTCAGTATCATCATCCTGGCTAAATAAATATCTTCTGTTGCTAGACCTTAAGTTACACTGATACTGAATGAATCTAAAAACGAAAATATATGTCAGCTAATCACATGAAAAAAAGCATATAATTGATAAGATCAACCAACTTCATTCACTTTTTCCTTCTTATAATACTCTCTTTTGAGTTTCACATAATAAATGCAAAGATGCGCTTAGAGGACGTGATATATCCTTGTTCAGTTGTATGTAGCCACTCTATCAGTGAGTCTCAGGTATTCTTATCTACTTAATTTTATTAATTGACCTGCTTCAGAAACCTGAAAGGACGCTGTTGCTATCTATCTGTGCTGAAGGAGCTACAAAGGTATAATTTCTCTGATACCAATATCTTTAACTAAGCTAACTTTCTGAGGACAACTACTTCTCTCTCTGTTGCTGA